CCCCCCGCCGTTTAGTGTAAAGGCCTCACACTGTATATATTCAAATTATAAACGTAATTCAAATTGTTCAACTAACAAGCAATAATCCTGAAACTGAGAATCCAGACAAAAGTTTAATGTGGATCATTTGTTAACGGTTTTAGATAGGGTAAGGCCTACATAAGCTACATGTAAGCCTATGTGCCTTGGCAAGCAAGGGAAAAATGTTGGAATTTCTGGAAAAAAATATTTATGTGGTTTAGTTTATAAATGTAGAGTTCTGGGGAAAAACAGAATTGTTTTTTGAAATAGATATGCTTTTCTAAGTGTTTTTTTTTTAATTTAACTCTTCTATGGCAACGCTCATATGAATGGTTTCACTGATCGTAAGCAAGACCCGAGTTATGCATTTGACGCCTGCTTGTAGCCCGTATAGTTATCACTGTAAACAATAAAGGTTTTCCTCCTGGTAATGCAGGCTAAATATACATAAACACGCGCCTTTTATTCATATTTCATACTACGCGTGTTCCGTTATATACCATTTTCCTCTTATTTTTTCAGGTAAAATTTTACTGCTAAGAGTGTGTAAAACAAAAGATATAAACAAATTATGAAACTACATTTTACATTTAACAGCATTAAAGGCAGGCGGAAAGGCAGGAGTGCAGCATATTTTGAAGGATAATGTGGGATTAACAGAACAGGTCAAAAATAAGGACGCATTGTATAAAGGTGTGATAAGTTTATCTGTCAAAGAGAGACTGTTTTAGAAAGAAATGGAAGCATAAATGATTAACTGCATACTGGACTAACTGGATAATAGATTAACAGCGTAATATATAAATCGAATTTGGTAATGAAAAATAAAGCTACGGTCAGTGATAGATAGATATACATGTAGACAGATAACATAAAAACCTACTTTACTTCAGGCCGGTACTAAATAGTTTCGTTCTTGAATTGGAATTTATTTCTTGATAAACATTTTCATGTATAAGATAGGCCTATATTTCAGAAAAAAGAACAGAACTGATTTTATCACGAGCAATATGCCTGTGGCGTGTCTTAAAAGCTTCATAACGCATCATTTCAGTGAACGAACATTTACGAACAATATCAACTATTTCCAATGTTGTCAAAATGGATTAAATAGCATAGGTTTACAGTTACTGATTCGCTAGTGTTCACGCCGAGTGTCGCCAGTGCTATAATATGATAAACAAGGGGGTATAATTAGAATACAGAATAATCTGCCGTTTTATCGCATGGCAACATGTTCTTTCTTTTAAGAACGGTACATGTCACCATGGTTACAATGAACACAATTATTAAGATCCCCAGCACTATTGCAGTCGTAGGATTTGCCGTGGTGAAGTGTCCTTCATCGGGTTGCATATACACTAAACGATTGGGGGTACCGTTTCCTTCTTTTTCCGTGAAATGGATCTCATTATTCAAAGCGTTGCTAAGTAACCAGTTCTTGACCTGCACCGGTAATGTAGAGGAATCGCCGTTGGCAAGGTAACGAGCAATCACGCCAGTGACGTGCGGTGCGCTCATGGATGTGCCGTTTTTAATGCCAATCGTGTTGTTTGGTAAAGTTGAAGGAATCTGTAGACCGGGAGCTACAATGTCGACACATTTGCCATGGTTAGAAAATGTACAAAACTGATCTTTGATGTCACTGCAACCGACTGATATAACTTTACTGTCACCCACTGGTGTGAATGCTTCACATGCATCCTCTCCGTCATTCCCTGCAGCAACAACAATGCTTACTCCGCTATCTACAACAGCCTCTACAGCCCTCTTTAAGTTTACGTCCGATCGGTTTCCTCTACCAAGAGACAAATTGATAACAGATTTTGCTCCCTTTCCTGCATTTTTTCTTCCTTTGTGATGGTTACGTACCCATTCTAGCGCTTCCATGACGTCATCAATTTCTATCACAGACCGATTTTTGACGTCATTCCATTGAGCTACGTTAACAGATACTATCTTGGTCTTTTTGGCAACACCATATGTCTTGGAGGCCACGATGCCGGCTACATGGGTACCATGGTCCATCCATTCATGAGACAAAAGCTGAGACGGAAATGTTACATTTTCATCAACGGCATTGATCCCGAATGAAGCTCGATCTTCGAACTCATTGTGGTTTACGTCAACGACAGTATCAATAATGTAAATGTAGGTTCCTTCACCGGCTCTTGCTTCGTACCGGTACCTTAACTCGCTCTCTCTTTTCAACTGTTTAGTTGAGCAAATTCGTGCTAGACCCCATGCCGTGTAGGGAAGTCCACTCTGTTTGTCGACCCTTTCGATCACCAAGTCGTTAGCGGAGCTTTCTACCGTCAACTCAACGTTTGGCGTGACCGCATCAACGCTGGGATGACGTTTTAGCTCGTCAAATACCCCGTCGTTACCTTTAAAAGCAAATCCTGTTAGTATTCCGATGAAGTAGGTGTGGGTGATAACAGCACTGGCATCTTTGTTTATGACAACCTGTGACAACTCCTTCACAAGGGCGGCTGGGTTCGATGTAGGCTTTAACCCTACAATGTACTCATCCTTTACTGTGGTTTGCAGTTCGGCCAGTTTTGATACCGACGACACTGATCCAAATAAAAGTATCAGCTGTATTAATGTCACCGTTTCTACAGAGATGAATCTCATATTCCCGTATATATTTCTGTACATTTCAGCATACCTGTTGTGCCCAGCATCTTTTAAATAATTTAATTGCACACAAAATGCAAAATAAAATCTCCAAAGAGCTAAATCATAGCCAGAAAGTGATCACGATGTCCCTCAATTTCCCGTGACTTTTCAACCCACTTGTAAGAAGAGCTACTTTTATACCGCTTGTACATGCACACCGTCCAATATTGGAAGCACAATAAAGGTGTGTGTACATTGGGGAAAGGCACATGCACCCATGTCGATTATAATCCATAATGGGCAAGGCTTACTTTGTTTGCATACCCATTCACTTTTACTGGAGGGAACCAGTAAAAATGAAAGGACCATAGTTATTGTGGCTCCTGCTGCAGCAGCTCATAACAATACATCAAGATCAAATGGTGAAAAAATACATCATTTACTACAACATATTGGGAACAATACACGCAAGAGGCTAGTCAGAACATTTCTACGTGCAAGAAACTCCTTCATAAAAGTGCACAATCATTTGTGTTAATACATACAGTTATAATCTAAATGATATAAACAAATTACGACAAAACGACTAGAGTCAAGGAATAGTGATTTTGTCCCTGTGCTCAATCTCCGTGAAATCACCAGCTGCATGCATACTTCATTTGATCGGATAATACAGGAAAGTGATTAACATTCCATTGCACTTTTATGAGCAGCGATTTTTAATACAGAGATGACAAAATATTAATCATGGCAATACTGATAAAATTTATTTATCATCTTCTACTTAATTGTACCCTCCTCCAAGGACCTCTCAAGTTGTTACAAATTGTTGTTCCATCCAATTTTGTAACAGCTAGAAAAGACTGAGGAGACCCCTGGTGGAGGGTGACTTAATCGTCTTACGCTACCAGTACACCAAATAAATCTCTATAGCACTAATGTAACAAGTGCTATGAATCCCCATCAGAGCAAATATATCTCATCTAGCCCTCCTAAGTAAAACGAAAGCGAGCTACAGGTACTTATATCACAATGATATTCGAAAATCACATTTACAGATCAAAAGCCATGTGAGTCTATCCCGTGTCGTCTCTGTCCTTTTTAACGTCGTCAGCCGGTGCGTTGTCCATTTCTGCATCGCTTCCAGAAACACTTCCTTTCTCTCCATTTTCGTTTGGAGACACTGCTTCGCTTATTATCGATCTTAGATCTTGCATTTCTTGTGGCCTGGGGACACCCTGAGCCTGCGCGTTTGGACTTATACCTGGATCTTCAGGTTGTGCCTCTATCGTCTTGTACGTAGAGTGAAATGGGTCGGTTTTCGTTAAGAATGTTAATGTTCTTGTCGTCGCCCAAGGTTGTAATTCGCCTAAAAAGAAATAACATGGCACAATTATTTCGCACGCCGATTTTTTACGTGTCTGCTTGACTGAGCCTGTCTGTTAACATGAATTCTCCGCTTAAAATCTTACATATTTGTTTGTTTAAAATATATTACTGCTNTATTCAAATTATAAACGTAATTCAAATTGTTCAACTAACAAGCAATAATCCAGAAACCGAGAATCCAGATAAAAGTTTAATGTGGATCATTTGTTAACGGTTTTGGATAGGGTAAGGTCTTACATGTAGGCCTATATAGGCCTACCGGGTAGGCCTACATAGGCTACATGTAGGCCTATGTGCCTTTGCAAGCAAGGGAAAGTGTTGGAATTTCAGGAAAAAAATATTTATGGGCTTTAGTTTATAAATGTAGAGTTCCGGGGAAAAACAATTGTTTTTTGAAATAGATATGCTTTTCTAATAGATAAGTGGTTTTTTTACATTTAACTCTTCTATGGCAACGCTCATATGAATGGTTTCACTGATCGTAAGCAAGACCCGAGTTATGCATTTGACGCCTGCTTGTAGCCCGTATAGTTATGACTGTAAACAATAAAGGTTTTCCTCCTGGTAATGCAGGCTAAATATATACATAAACAAGCGCCTTTTATTCATATTTCATACTACGCGTGTTCCGTTATATACCATTTTCCTCTTATTTTTTCAGGTAAAATTTTACTGCTAAGAGTGTGTAAAACAAAAGATATAAGCAAATTACGAAAGTACATTTTACATTTAACAGCATTAAAGGCAGGCGGAAAGGCAGGAGTGCAGCATATTTTGAAGGATAATGTGGGATTAACAGAACAGGTCAAAAATAAGGACGCATAGTATAAAGGTGTGATAAGTTTATCTGTCATAGAGAGACTGTTTTAGAAAGAAATGGAAGCATAAATGATTAACTGCATACTGGATTAACTGCATAATAGATTAACAGCCAAATATATAAATCGAATTTGGTAACGAAAAATAAAGCTACGGTCAGTAATAGATATAGACATACATGTAGACAGATAACATAAAAACCTACGTTACTTCAGGCCGGTACTAAATAGTTTCGTTCTTGAATATTGGAATTTATTTCTTGATAAACATTTTCATGTATAAGATAGGCCTATATTTCAGAAAAAAGAACAGAACTGATTTTATCACGAACAATATGCCTGTGGCGTGTCTTAAAAGCTTCATAACGCATCATTTCAGTGAACGAACATTTACGAACAATATCAATTATTTACAAAGTTGTCAAAATGGATTAAAAAGCATAGGTTTACAGTTACTGATTCGCTAGTGTTCACGCCAAGTGTCGCCAGTGCTTTAATATGATCAACAAGTGGGTATAATTAGAATACAGAATAATCTGCCGTTTTATCGCATGGCAACATGTTCTTTCTTTTAAGAACGGTACATGTCACCATGGTTACAATGAACACAATTATTAAGATCCCCAGCACTATTGCAGTCGTAGGATTTGCCGTGGTGAAGTGTCCTTCATCGGGTTGCATATACACTAAACGATTGGGGGTACCGTTTCCTTCTTTTTCCGTGAAATGGATCTCATTATTCAAAGCGTTGCTAAGTAACCAGTTCTTGACCTGCACCGGTAATGTAGAGGAATCGCCGTTGGCAAGGTAACGAGCAATCACGCCAGTGACGTGCGGTGCGCTCATGGATGTGCCGTTTTTAATGCCAATCGTGTTGTTTGGTAAAGTTGAAGGAATCTGTAGACCGGGAGCTACAATGTCGACACATTTTCCGTGGTTAGAAAATGTACAAAACTGATCTTTGATGTCACTGCAACCGACTGATATCACTTTACTGTCACCCACTGGTGTGAATGCTCCACATGCATCCTCTCCGTCATTCCCTGCAGCAACAACAATGCTTACTCCACTATCTACAACAGCCTCTACAGCCCTCTTTAAGTTTGCGTCCGATCGGTTTCCTCTACCAAGAGACAAATTGATAACAGATTTTGCTCCCTTTCCTGCATTTTTTCTTCCTTTGTGATGATTACGTACCCATTCTAGCGCTTCCATGACGTCATCAATTTCTATCACAGACCGATTTTTGACGTCATTCCATTGAGCTACGTTAACAGATACTATCTTGGTCTTTTTGGCAACACCATATGTCTTGGAGGCCACGATGCCGGCTACATGGGTACCATGGTCCATCCATTCGTGAGACAAAAGCTGAGACGGAAATGTTACATTTTCATCTACGGCATTGATCCCGAATGAAGCTCTATCTTCGAACTCATTGTGGTTTACATCAACGACAGTATCAATAATGTAAATGTAGGTTCCTTCACCGGCTCTTGCTTCGTACCGGTACCGTAACTCGCTGTCTCTTTTCAACTGTTTAGTTGAGCAAATTCGTGCTAGACCCCATGCCGTGTAGGGAAGTCCACTCTGTTTGTCGACCCTTTCGATCACCAAGTCGTTAGCGGAGCTTTCTACCGTCAACTCAACATTTGGCGTGACTGCATCAACGCTGGGATGACGTTTTAGCTCGTCAAATACACTAACGCTACCTTTAAAAGCAAATCCTGTTAGTATTCCGATGAAGTAGGTGTGGGTGATAACAGCACTGGCATCTTTGTTTATGACAACCTGTGACAACTCCTTCACAAGGCCGGCTGGGTTCGATGTAGGCTTTAACCCTACAATGTACTCATCCTTTACTGTGGTTTGCAGTTCGGCCAGTTTTGATACCGACGACACTGATCCAAATAAAAGTATCAGCTGTATTAATGTCACCGTTTCTACAGAGATGAATCTCATATTCCCGTATATATTTCTGTACATTTCAGCATACCTGTTGTGCCCAGCATCTTTTAAATAATTTAATTGCACACAAAATGCAAAATAAAATCTCCAAAGAGCTAAATCATAGCCAGAAAGTGATCACTATGTCCCTCAATTTCCCGTGACTTTTCAACCCACTTGTAAGAAGAGCTACTTTTATACCGCTTGTACATGTACACCGTCCAATATTGGAAGCACAATAAAGGTGTGTGTACATTTGGGAAAGCCACATGCACCCATGTCGATTATAATCCATAATGGGCAAGGCTTCCTTTGTTTGCATACCCATTCACTTTTACTGGAGGGAACCAGTAAAAATGAAAGGACCATAGTTATTGTGGCTCCTGCTGCAGCAGCTCATAACAATACATCAAGATCAAATGGTGAAAAAATACATCATTTACTACAACATATTGGGAACAATACACGCAAGAGGCTAGTCAGAACATTTCTACGTGCAAGAAACTCCTTCATAAAAGTGCACAATCATTTGTGTTAATACATACAGTTATAATCTAAATGATATAAACAAATTACGACAAAACGACTAGAGTCAAGGAATAGTGATTTTGTCCCTGTGCTCAATCTCCGTGAAATCATCAGCTGCATGCATACTTCATTTGATCGGATAATACAGGAAAGTGATTAACATCCCATTGCACTTTTATGAGCAGCGATTTTTAATACAGAGATGACAAAATATTAATCTTGGCAATACTGATAAAATGTATTAATCATCTTCTACTTAATTGTACCCTCCTCCAAGGATCTCTCAAGTTGTTACAAATTGTTGTTCCATCCGATTTTGTAACAGCTAGAAAAGACTGAGGAGACCCCTGGTGGAGGGTGACTTAATCGTCTTACGCTACCAGTACACCAAATAAATCTCTATAGCACTAATGTAACAAGTGCTATGAATCCCCATCAGAGCAAATATATCTCATCTAGCCCTCCTCAGTAAAACGAAAGCGAGCTACAGGTACTTATATCACAATGATATTCGAAAATCACATTTACAGTTCAAAAGCCATGTGAGTCTATCCCGTGTCGTCTCTGTCCTTTTTAACGTCGTCAGCCGGTGCGTTGTCCATTTCTGCATCGCTTCCAGAAACACTTCCTTTCTCTCCATTTTCGTTTGGAGACACTGCTTCGCTTATTATCGATCTTAGATCTTGCATTTCTTGTGGCCTGGGGACACCCTGAGCCTGCGCGTTTGGACTTATACCTGGATCTTCAGGTTGTGCCTCTATCGTCTTGTACGTAGAGTGAAATGGGTCGGTTTTCGTTAAGAATGTTAATGTTCTTGTCGTCGCCCAAGGTTGTAATTCGCCTAAAAAGAAATAACATGGCACAATTATTTCGCACGCCGATTTTTTACGTGTCTGCTCGACTGAGCCTGTCTGTTAACATGAATTCTCCGCTTAAAATCTTACATATTTGTTTGTTTAAAATATATTACTGCANTGGCATCTTTGTTTATGACAACCTGTGACAACTCCTTCACAAGGCCGGCTGGGTTCGATGTAGGCTTTAACCCTACAATGTACTCATCCTTTACTGTGGTTTGCAGTTCGGCCAGTTTTGATACCGACGACACTGATCCAAATAAAAGTATCAGCTGTATTAATGTCACCGTTTCTACAGAGATGAATCTCATATTCCCGTATATATTTCTGTACATTTCAGCATACCTGTTGTGCCCAGCATCTTTTAAATAATTTAATTGCACACAAAATGCAAAATAAAATCTCCAAAGAGCTAAATCATAGCCAGAAAGTGATCACTATGTCCCTCAATTTCCCGTGACTTTTCAACCCACTTGTAAGAAGAGCTACTTTTATACCGCTTGTACATGTACACCGTCCAATATTGGAAGCACAATAAAGGTGTGTGTACATTTGGGAAAGCCACATGCACCCATGTCGATTATAATCCATAATGGGCAAGGCTTCCTTTGTTTGCATACCCATTCACTTTTACTGGAGGGAACCAGTAAAAATGAAAGGACCATAGTTATTGTGGCTCCTGCTGCAGCAGCTCATAACAATACATCAAGATCAAATGGTGAAAAAATACATCATTTACTACAACATATTGGGAACAATACACGCAAGAGGCTAGTCAGAACATTTCTACGTGCAAGAAACTCCTTCATAAAAGTGCACAATCATTTGTGTTAATACATACAGTTATAATCTAAATGATATAAACAAATTACGACAAAACGACTAGAGTCAAGGAATAGTGATTTTGTCCCTGTGCTCAATCTCCGTGAAATCATCAGCTGCATGCATACTTCATTTGATCGGATAATACAGGAAAGTGATTAACATCCCATTGCACTTTTATGAGCAGCGATTTTTAATACAGAGATGACAAAATATTAATCTTGGCAATACTGATAAAATGTATTAATCATCTTCTACTTAATTGTACCCTCCTCCAAGGATCTCTCAAGTTGTTACAAATTGTTGTTCCATCCAATTTTGTAACAGCTAGAAAAGACTGAGGAGACCCCTGGTGGAGGGTGACTTAATCGTCTTACGCTACCAGTACACCAAATAAATCTCTATAGCACTAATGTAACAAGTGCTATGAATCCCCATCAGAGCAAATATATCTCATCTAGCCCTCCTAAGTAAAACGAAAGCGAGCTACAGGTACTTATATCACAATGATATTCGAAAATCACATTTACAGTTCAAAAGCCATGTGAGTCTATCCCGTGTCGTCTCTGTCCTTTTTAACGTCGTCAGCCGGTGCGTTGTCCATTTCTGCATCGCTTCCAGAAACACTTCCTTTCTCTCCATTTTCGTTTGGAGACACTGCTTCGCTTATTATCGATCTTAGATCTTGCATTTCTTGTGGCCTGGGGACACCCTGAGCCTGCGCGTTTGGACTTATACCTGGATCTTCAGGTTGTGCCTCTATCGTCTTGTACGTAGAGTGAAATGGGTCGGTTTTCGTTAAGAATGTTAATGTTCTTGTCGTCGCCCAAGGTTGTAATTCGCCTAAAAAGAAATAACATGGCACAATTATTTCGCACGCCGATTTTTTACGTGTCTGCTCGACTGAGCCTGTCTGTTAACATGAATTCTCCGCTTAAAATCTTACATATTTGTTTGTTTAAAATATATTACTGCAATACCAAAGATTTAGAAACTGATTCCCGGTTTACTTTTCACAAAATTTATCAGTGACAAATACAAATGATTATAAATCTACTGAGGCTGAAGTTTGAGACTCCTTTCAGCCAAGGACGTTGAAGATATATACGTCCTTGTTTCAGCTAAATGACGTCGTTTATTATGTACTGTACGTAATCATGATCTTTGTGTTCATCAAAGTAAAATATCATTGGCATATTCATGTAACTCTGAACCTACCCGAGCCAAACACAGCAAAAAAGACAGCTGACGTTAAAATAATGATACCAGATATCAAGAACACGATCTGCCAGTTGCTAACAGTCTGAAATTGACGAGAAGAAACGTTTTATTCCCAGTTAAAATTGGAGATCATATAAAACGCTTCCTATGTTTCCAATTAATATTGAAGACCATGCAATGCACTTATTATGTTCTTCATTTAAATTGGCATATTTCTTATTTTTGTGACTATCTTTAAACATAGAATAGACCACAATCATTTTAGTAAGCATATATTAGATGAATACTATATACTAAATATTAATTACAAAATTTATGAAAAGACGACGATTTTATAACAAATCAATTTGCCGCAATGTTCGTAAATCTTCAAATTAAGCAAACTGGTCTTAGCCACTTTATATAAAATCACCTAAAATTTTAGCCTAGAAATAATTTCGCCTCAAAATCGAATTTTGTACGATAATTTAGCCTGTGTTATTACATGTACCTGCTCAAACGTTATAGCAGCCACAACAACCGGTCCTAGAATCCCAGCAATTGTACCCAACATGGAGGAGATGGCTGCTAATATGCTGGCGTACTTTGGCGCTATATCTAAATGATTGATCTGCCAGCCTGTATTTTAATATCAGAAAAAAGCATTTCCATAGTGTCCAAACCTTTTAAAAAAATCAGAGTATCAAACAAAATATAGATTTACCTTACAAAATGCTTTTTATGTTCTTGGCAACCTTCAGTTGTACAAATCAGATGTCGTTTTAAAATATGAGAGATTAACAAATGAATGGATGAGCCAAAGAACTATATAGGATATCGAATTCCTTGGGAGAGCTAAGGAGAAAACAGCAACAGCAGGCGTTTCACACAAAATAGGCGCACACTACATTCAGTCAAAAAATATATATATATATTGTCACAACAACAACAACATAAAAAACCAAAAACGATTGATACCTGAAACTGTGAGTCCACTAAAGCCCACGCCAATAGTCAAAAACACTAGTGCCACTGCGCCATTCACGGTAAATGCCAGGAAGATGAGGCAAATACCCTCCATTCCAAAACCTACAAAATAGTAATACTCATCCAGAGCCCATTCATTTGAATTTAAAGGCATATGTTGCGCATAAGACCATTATAAAGTAAGTAAATAAATAGAAATATAAAAATCCAGGAAATTTTAACAATTTTCTTTTATCACCATAGTATATCCTGTTGAGAAAATTACGATCTATAAACCCGTTTCCGAGCTCTTCGTGTGTGAAATGAGTGAAAGTGTGAGTGGGAAATGAGTGAAATCCACTGCTCCCAATCTGTATTATAAGAGGGTATCAAACATTAGAAAATTAGAAGTCAAACCCGGTTTATGGTCGTAATTGTAACATCAGTTTTGGATATAGTATACTTTGGCTATTAAGTGCGTATTGAAATTTCCGGGGAAACAAATCCTTTCTCAATTCTGTATAAGGGCTTTTACCTTTAATTACCTTTAATTATGAAAACTACTGAAAGTATCAAGAACTATAAAACTGGACAAAACAGCTTTTAAATCCAGAAACAGAATAAATGATGGATTCAAAGCCGACGGACGAATCAGATTATCATGCATATTGTACCGTTTAAAGATGAAAATCGCAAATATTATAAATATAATATAAATGACGAACTCACCTATGGAATTTAATATTATCCTAGAATCAGTAACGGTAAGTAAGGGGTTTCGTATTAACATATCAGCTACTGGTCCGCTAAGGGCTGTGAAGCAAACCATCATAATGTGCGGTAACGATGACAAAAGTCCGTTCTGAGATATGAAAAATATATAATTTAAACCGTATCTACGGGATCCAGCATATAAACTGACAACGAATGATTTATATAATTTAATTTGACCTTTCTGTAGTAAATTAAAGGGCACAAGAATAAGTAAGATAAAGTGTTGTATTATCCCGTTAACCTACAAAATAAATTGAAAACGCCTCGTATAAGTGAAAGATATGGGACTAAAAAAGAAAAACAAATAATAAATAAAGAGATGAAGTTAAAAGACTCCAGATGAAATTAAGCACAAGATACCTGAGCAATTGTAAAGCCAAAGACATTCAGGTATGTTGGTTCGTTTGTCAGCAGTAAATAGAATACCCAACTCCTGCTGAAGTAGCAAACGCATATTGCCCAAAACGGAAGTGACGTCAAGATAGACCTCCAGGGCACCTTACTGATCTGAAAAAAAAAAGAAAATTAATCCATTCATTTAAAATTACTTCCTAATTACAAAAATTACCCAAAGTTTTAGAAAGCGCATTGAGTGTGACATCTTAAACCATATGTAATTGGCTAACATCCTATTTGCACCATTTTCTTTTAAATCGGAGTTGCCATAGAAATGTCCAGGTGACGAAAGAATAAAAAGACCAAGCGTGGGAAAACATTTGTACAGGGTGTCTCAAAATAGATGGAACCCATCGACATCCTTGAATTCGGCGAGCGAAGTTCTCAATCACCTTGATCTTGACACAATCTTGTTTCAACATGGCACGCATCTTCTGGGTGATGGCCACTCTGAGTTCAGCAGTGGATTATGGATTGTTCTTATGCATGTTGTCCTTCAAGAACCCCATAGAAATAAAAGACTGGGAGGTTCAGATCGGGTGAATGCGGAGACCACTCGGGTTCGTGACGCCTGCTGATCAGCCAATTAGGGAATCGATGGTCGAGCCACTCCATCATGATACTGGCTGTATGTGGAGTTGCTACATCTTGTCGATCCATTGCCCATAACTATTCACACCATGATGTGATCCAGGTACCCCCCCCCCCACCCCAGAACTTGTTGAGCACAACAATTTAAGGCTCCTTTTTGACAGTGACTGCCTTCTCGTCTTCGTTTTCAAACCAAAACGGTTATTCCATGCTTTCAAGTGGCACCAAGGCCGTGCATTTCCGTGCAATGGCAGTCATTTGGATCACGTTCTGTACAAATCCATCCTTTGAACTACAGATATCAAATCAGTGTTTTTTAATTGTTACTGTATCAGCTTCCGAGCAATGTAATCTTGTCTCAGTTTCTTGTCTCAGTAATAAATCATTATCATATTGATGAGTTCCACCTATTTTGAGATTCCCTGTAACTTAGAATGAGAATGTTATTTCGTTCCAAAAGTAAAAACACACTGTTCGGCACTGGTATTTCCAAGCACCATGTTTGTACCTCAAAATCCGAATATGAGCTTCCTTGTCGGTCTTCTATCAGCTTACGTTCCTCATTTGAGATGGTAGGGTCGTACGCTGGCCGTTCATACACGCATGCGAAAAAGATGATGAACCAAAGAATGCCGATACCACCTGGAATTAGGTAACCTTTTACACAGGGGGTCTTCATTGGCAGAAAAACATTTGTTACAAAACAAGTAAGCCCCACAAACTTGATAATTCTTGTGTATTGGCAATTAATGCTCTTGTATCTTACAAAATTTATGGTAGGCCTCCACCCTTTTGGATAATTACGAGGGGCGACGTACTCTGACCTCTTCATAGATCTCGTGTTTGAAATAATGAATTATTAACTGTTTTTTTAACGTGGTCGTGTACCATAAAACTCACCGTGGAGATAGAAGACGTACTGCCAGCCAATGAAATGAGTAATAGCACCAGAGATTGGAAATCCAAATATGGCTCCCGAGTACATGCCTATAAGAAATTACAGGTTAAGCAGGCCTGATTCAGACAAGAAATATTTCCAGTTTTACAACTATTGAGGTGTTGAAAGTGGAGGGGGTGCACGATTGTGTTTTACATTCCAAAACAAGTGATATATTGTTAACTAATATAAACAAAATTCAGCACTGATCCCTTTTTTTAACTGAAAAATCAAAACATTATTTTCGTTTAATCGTTTTTTTTTTAATTTTTGCAATCCAACCGTTCTAAATCTTTTTTTTTTTTTTTTTTTTTTTTTTTAGAAAACGTTCGTGCCTCAAAATTGATGCAAGAGATGACAGATTTTTATTAATGAAATGATTAAAAGGTTTAAAAGCCTAAGATTAAAAACATGCACAAAGGTTCATAGATTAAGAAATATCCATCTCAAATGGTATATTGCTCATGTATCTTTTGTATAAGGNAGAACTTGTTGAGCACAACAATGTAAGGCTCCTTTTTGACAGTGACTGCCTTCTCGTCTTCGTTTTCAAACCAAAACGGTTATTCCATGCTTTCAAGTGGCACCCAGGCCGTGCATTTCCGTGCAATGGCGGTCATTTGGATCACGTTCTGTACAAATCCATCCTTTGAACTACAGATATCAAATCAATGTTTTTTAATTGTTACTGTATCAGCTTCCGAGCAATGTAATCTTGTCTCAGTTTCTTGTCTCAGTAATAAATCATTATCATATTAATGAGTTCCACCTATTTTGAGATTCCCTGTAACTTAGAATGAGAATGTTATTTCGTTCCAAAAGTAAAAACACACTGTTCAGCACTGGTATTTCCAAGCACCATGTTTGTACCTCAAAATCCGAATATGAGCTTCCTTGTCGGTCCTCTATCAGCTTACGTTCCTCATTTGAGATGGTAGGGTCGTACGCTGGCCGTTCATACACGCATGCGAAAAAGATGATGAACCAAAGAATGCCGATACCACCTGGAATTAGGTAACCTTTTACACAGGGGATCTTCTTTGGCAGAAAAACATTTGTTACAAAACAAGTAAGCCCTACAAACTTGATAATTCTTGGATATTGGAAATTAATGCTCTTGGATCTTACGAAATTTATTGGACTATTACGAGGGGCGACGTACTCTGACCTCTTCATAGATCTCGTGTTTGAAATAATGAATTATTAACTGTTTTTTTAACGTGGTCGTATACCATAAAACTCACCGTGGAGATAGAAGACGTACTGCCAGCCAATGAAATGTGTAATAGCACCAGAGATTGGAAATCCAAAAATGGCTCCCGAGTACATGCCTATAAGAAATTACAGGTTAAGCAGGCCTGATTCAGACAAGAAATATTTCCAGTTTTACAATTATTGAGGTGTTGAAAGTGGAGGGGTATTGTGTTTTACATTCCAATTGTGTTTTACATTCCAATACAAGTGATATATTGTTAACTAATATAAATAAATTATAAATATACATCCCTTTTTTTAACGGAAAAATCAAAACATTATTTTCGTTTAATCGTTTTTTTTTTTTTTAATTTTTGCAATGCAACCTTTCTAAATCTTTTTTTTTTTTTTTTTTTTTTTTTTTTTTTTGCAATGGGATGTAGCAGAAATTAGTTTTTCATAACCACAATCCAGCTTAATCTGTGCTTAGAACTAAAGCACATATCATTTTGTGTAAGGATGTGGGCGCATTGCGTGTCCCCGATGTCTATTAATGTCTGTTTCAATATCTGAGAGGGAAATATGTGGGCCAACAGAGCCTGAAGATTATAAATAGTCGATAAATTGACTGGTACGACAGAGATAAAAAAAGCGAAGCATAATTGCAATAATGGAGTCTGTTCTGCTGATAAAAAACAATTCACAGGGATTAACTGCAAATCTCTTATTAGTAGATAAGACGTGGATGTTACTTATAACTACAATCCCAACCCGAGTAACAGCCGGAAATGCGTGCAAAGCCTTATAATCTTTGTATTTTCGAATATGCTTATGGCTTTTTTCCTTTTCCTTTTTATGCATTGTTCCTTTGCAGTTCCATTATGTTTTTTTACCGTGGCATATAACCACTCCAAGAAACTCTAAGAAAGTTACGTCCTGGTTTTCCTTGAAATTGTGTTAAGGGCTACCGCAGTTGTATCATCCGCTAAGACCGACTTATTGTGCTCTTGCAAGTTGATTTTTTTTATTTGCTAAAATTGGCAGCTTCTACACGGCTTACATATAAAACTAACTATCATCTTAACAACGATTTTTTCAATATATCTTATCACACGATAATTGTAAGCTATGTGAAGAGAAAAGTGGATTTTCAATCATGGAAACCACCGAGATAGCCTAAATCGATGCTGTTGGCACAGCGTGGTGTCTCAATCATGGAAACCACCGAGATAGCCTAAATCGATGCTGTTGGCACAGCGTGGTGTCTTCCGAGACTAGAAAACGTGTATGAGATTTGGGTGAATCAAGGCGTTAAATATTTAGCGATGAGGGTGAAACATATATGCTTCAGCAATGTCCAAAGCAATACATAAATGACGTGCAAAACATGATAAATTCGTACTTTTGTGCAACAGACTGTTTGACAGAAGATATAAACGTTAAAATATCATTAGATTAATTATTACATTATGATTTTATTCGTTGCCGCCTCGCACGCTAGTCTTCCATCATTCCTGATCCCACTCTCTTCAAAATCTCTCGAAATCTCGCTTGACTTTTTGTGAAGTCGGGAGACTTTGGGCTATCTCGAGTTATTCCCACTGTTACCTGTAAATACGAGAGATCCCATCCTTCCCCTCTCTTGTGGAGTCACCCAATGACCAAGAAGAGCGTATAACGTGGGGATTACCAGTCCCTAGAAATGACGGATTCTGAGCTGATACACTTAAACTAGTTCAGTGCAGTCAGTCACAATTTAATTCAATTATGAGACAGATCTCTCTCTCTCTCTCACACACACACACACACACACACACTGTTGCTTACACTAGTACGCTTGTAAATAAGCTGTTCAACACTGCCAACTGTCTCTTGCGACCAGCTGTGGTTAGTTTGATAAGGGTATTATGGTGATTTAGCTGGAGTCAATCTCTATATTTTGATAATATTGCTTTTTGTGGGGTAATACAAATTGCACAGAACGCTACAATATTATCACCGTTGAGTCGATAGAGGATCGTAACTCACTTCACTCATTCCTTGCAGTATTCTGAGAACACAGGTCAGCGGATAGATGCCGTTGTCTATAGAAACAGGCACAAGTAGATTCAGTCCACAAGACAGTAAGATACAGCCCCCGAACATTCTAAATAAAAAGAAAGGTAATAAAAATGTATTATGCACACATATAGATCCTACATGTACCATACATGCACATGTGGTACATATAATATTTAGCTTCCTGTCTTATGTTAAAATTTATACTCATTTGAATTTTTCATTTCCTTCTGGATACTTGGGAAGCATAAAAGACCATACATTCAGTGACACTTATATAATAATATAACCATACATTTCTACTGAAAACTTGAAAGAATTGAAAATGTTTATTACATTCATGGTGTTAAAATGGTATTTATAATTCACCTATGAGATGGAAAAAGTCTAGCGTAATAGCCCGCTGGCAGCTGTGTCAGCAAATGCCCTATATAGAAACTACTGTGTAGAAAGCCGATCATAGTCATGTCCCAGTTAATGATTGGTATCTAGAAAATAAGGAGAAAAAACATCTTTATAATAACATTCTTTTTCAACATTTTCTCTTCAATTAAAAAGTTGGTCAGCAACAAGAAGTCTGACATAAAATGATCATTTGCATACTTCATTTACAAAAAGAAAAGAAAATAATTGAATAGTAATTTCCATGTCTATTTTCCTTTTTTCCGCGTATTAAATGAGCCCAGAAACAAAACTTACCACAACAATTTCAAGGTTTAAAAATAATCTTACTGAAATTTCAATACATCTTTTATAATATAATTTACGAGATAATTTCTGCAGATGGGATAACTTACATTCATCGCGGCATCACTGGTACCAACTTTTTCGGCGGCCCTGTTATCAATTAATGTGATCACTGTTACTGCTAAATTGACACGCATTGCGTACACTACAAGCAATCCGATACAGCATAGGCCAGCGGTCACATAGCGCTTCATTTTGTCGGACAACTCCTTATCCTGTTCTTTCTCAGAGATCAATCTGAAAAAAATAACAATAACAAATAAGTAACGTGCTCTACATTATTTTCACCAGTAACTCAGTTTATGACGTGTAGTTGTATTCATGGACGAGAATGACGTCACATGACATCACAAACTGTGACACAAAAAAGAAGACGTACTCTGCTGACATACATGCTGCAGACATCATTACCACTGTCGTGTTTTCAACTGTCCACGAAAAAATATGCAACGCACGCGCACGTGTGTGTGTATCAGGCGTGTGTTCAGGAAGCAAATGGCTTGGTGACAAGACAAAATTTGATATTAGCACAGTTCTTAGAGTTAATAATTTAGCTATATAGTGGCGTGTGGGCTGACATTAAACATGTTTGAGATCGTAATATGTTTGTAATTTGCACCTCATAATGATCACTGTACAGGCTGAAGCGCCTTTCTATTATTAGATCTCTAGCTATTCTGAGGCCTAGTAACACAGCCTGTTCCTGGTAGGCCTACTATTAACACCCTTTGTTTGTAAATAAATCTATTATACAAAAATATCCATGATATACTACAGGAAATCAATCTAACGGAATGTGCAATAGATATACCATGAGTCAGCGAGGTGTACTGGATATGCATGAATGTGAAGTGCGAGTATGAGTAGATGGCACACACACCTTGACATCTAATGGCTGACGAGTAGTGTATCTGACATGTTCATGACAAATTTCGAGACAAAAGACCCAGGCGTGGTGTACCTCGCATACAAGCGTGGCGTACGTGTATACGAGATACACCAGCTTGAGTCATTTTTTTCGACATCCGACGTGGTACACAATGCATGACCACCGGTAAACAAGCATTGAACTGGTCGTCATATTGTAAAGCGTCGCTGTAATCCAATACATAAAGTGAACATGAACGTTCCTAAGAAATCATTACAAAAATGATACAAACAAAAGTACCATCGATTGATTTTCTTACATTAATTTCATATATAAATGCATTAAATTGCCGTTCGTGATGCCATGTAACACGAAATCTGTATTTTAATGCAGACAGCCTTTCTGTTTATCTTGTCTGCTATCTGATAATCTGAACCTGTTTGTAATGAGTTGGTGGTTTGAGAATACAAGTCAAAAACAAAAGCGAAATCGAGTTGAAAAGAACTATTGAGGCAACACAAATAAAAATTACTGCACAGATTCTGATAGGGCACCTTTACCACATGCATGTCATTTACACCTGGATATGATAAAAACAAGGTTCAAAAAGCTCAGAATGCGGGTAAATGTGTGGTACAGGCACCGAACTGACATCTTTGTCTGGATGAAACTGTAGCCAATTTAAGCATAGGCGATGCGTTTCTGGACTGTAATAAAACACAGAACAATCTCCATTTGAACCTTACTTTTGTTACTTGAGTCAGTTCCAGTATTGATCGATGATGATGGCGCCGCACTCCATACTGAGCAAACCCAACTCCCCGTCATCTACGGCAAAATACGTTACGATAAATCAGGTTAACAGATAGCCCACTTGAAACTCACAGCATCAAAAGCCATGAAAACAGTCATGTTCGGTCGACCTAACTTGGTCCGACCCTACTCATCAAGTCGTTCGATTGTGACTAGACAAATTAGCTGGAAACTAGAATAAACAGATCTCACTTCCTCGTTGCCAACAGTGTCGTTATAAGTTAACGTACACTTATGGGAGTTATGTCTCTAGGAGGCTGTAGAAGAATCCATTTCCATGGTTTGTACCATTAGAAGGATTAGTAACGGGTCTTGTGCTGTAGCCTTTCATGACGAAATTGTCACAAATGTGACCTGGACATCTCTTCACTAACAACTCAGTTACTGACTCTTTCCTTGAGCCTGATAAGTAGTTCTGTTTCGTTGAAGTGAAATGAAAATTGAATATAAAAGCCTGATTATCTCCTTACACACCTGGAATGTTCAGAAAGAATGTCCAAGCAAATTACGAATGGCCTCAGGTAAATTTTGGGCGATGAGAATACAGATTTCAATTTTCCACTAAAAGTTGTAGCATGACTTAAAAAAATTACATAACCACTTCTGGGCAAATCATTCTCGCCCAGGAGCATTCCATATGTGTGTGTGTGTGTGTGTGTGTGTGTGTGCTGATATATGCCAGATAAACGATAATGACAAACATTACAGGTAGGGAGATAAAAGGTTTTTTTATACTCAATTTTCATTTCATTTTAACAAAACAGAACTACTTATCGTGTAACATATTCACCGATAGAAGTACCTAAATATAGACAAAATGAAAATTGGATTGATAAAACTAATAATTGTACAGAAATGTTGCATATATTGTAGTGGTTTGTGGTTGGAGGCGTGGTAAGCATGAATGTTTTATCTGTGTGGAAAGGCCACCAGGAATTTTTTCACAACAGCTTCATATATCATGTGTTGGTAACTGGAGGATTCAGCGTCGCCCACGAAGAGACAAATGCCATTGGTCGCACTGATAATTTGCTGGCGGTGTACAATAATATACACTAGGAAACAACCTAAGATCTCGCCAACAGGGATGGGAGGCTTTTATAAAACGTTCTCAGCACTTCACAAATGGATATGTTTTTTTTTCGTTTGACATTTAAATATGTTTGCTAAAATTTCAATATATCTAATTCCTTGCGAGCAGAGAGCAATCCATTTGTACATATGGAATTGTGCTGTGGCGAACAAGTTATAACTTTACTTATCCTACAGTAATTTTTCTTTGTACTTTGTTTTATCACGGATGACAGATTGTGTCACTATTTCCATCAGAAAATGTAAGAAATCAATAAAGTAATAGACTGCATAATGTGTTTTTAAGGTAACGGCATATGTGAGATTATCATACCCTGTAATTTCATACTGTTACGTTATATACATTCTGTAGTTAATCCTTTGCCGGAGTCATGAGGAAACGGGAGATAAAAGAACTCATAAATAGATAATAGACATTAGGGAGAGGAATACGCACAACAATCAGGTTATTTTGTGTGGGATATGATGTCTGTTTTATTGCGATCAAAAGGTTGGCTTAATCATCAAGTGATTGCCGACGGAAAAAAAGAAGAAAAAAGGGATTTCAGCTCTATTTTGATCTGAATGATGATTTAAATCAATAGGGCCATTTTTCATATCTAATACGATGGAATGGCACAATTAGGTCTGTTATCATGTTGCTCTAAGAGTGGCTCTCGGGTAAGCCTATTCAGAGCAATGCATTCACTGCTAGGTGCACGCCTTTTTTATTATAAAGTCAAGGTGCCCCTGGTCTGATGTCCACAGACGACGGGCGCATATGCGTAGATTTGAAAATGAAGACCAGACGCCAGGGGAATGTGTCCCTTCAAAATAATCAACGAATATGTGTGGGATATATTGCACCTTTACTTGCAAAGACTACTCACACGCGCACTTTTCCTGCAGTTATACATGACTAAATTATCATATTGGCCGGTATTTTACTCATGTAGGCCGTCCAATATATCACATTTTCTATCCGAAAAAAAAGTCGGCCGAATCAATGGTACTTACCTGCATCTAGTCTTTCTCAGTTAAACGCCAGTGAGTGATATACATTTACAAATACTTAAACCATATAGAATCAGGTTTTTCACATCTCTGCTGTCGATGCAAGTAAACACAGCTGGCTAACAAACAATACAACAGTAACCAACGTTCGCACGACCATAACCGTATGGTAATTTCAACAACGAGGCTCTATTAGTTGTCGTCGGGTGACTCGGGTCAACTCTGTACCGAGCTCGGGGAATCCGGTTGCCGCAATTATGCGGTGAATACGATGATGGAGAAAAAAATCCTATATCAGATAGTGTATCCTGCTCAGGCCGTTCAGCTATTAAAAGCATGCAGGCTTATATTAAAGCAACACACGTAAATATATGTATACATGTATAGGCCTATGCAGTCTCTGTCTCCAAATGGGATGTTGCAATAAATGCTATTCATTTAGCATGTTTTTTTTTCTTGGAAATTCTTATTAGTTGGAAATAATATTGTATTGTTTTAGTGTTTATTCAGTTTTGGATCCGACAAAAAGCTCAAACCAATTCTTAGAAATTTAGTGTTGTTAAATGCTCTTTTCTAGGAAACTCAATCTACAAATAACGATGCTAATTCAAGTTTGAATTAGTCGTGATAAATGCTCAAGCTATTTCATATGAATTTGATGGCGTTGAAGCTATGGTATTATTTTAGATGCCAGAATATTTTAATTATTCTCCTGTTCTTTCGTTCTATATTTCATAACATATGTTCATCAAAATTATTGTTACAAAGATGTGCATGCATCAGTCATCCGAGCTTTAGGATGGTTGGTTTTTAAAACACTTGAGATGGACTTGGAAAAGTTAATACGATACAAACATCCTGTATAATATATCTTGTTTAGAAGTAAAGATTTGAAAATAAATCTTGTAAATTTGATTTTACAAGTCTGATGTGTACTACAGACCTGTGTTTAGATTTGAATGAAAAGACCGTGGTTTTATTATTTTCTGCATGATACGTTTGAAGTTGATTAAGTCTTGTCGTATGTGTTATTGTTATTGTTATGATGATATTTATCAGACTATGTCGCTAACCTATCCCTGTGCATTCAAATGTCCCCGCATCAATGTACCCCCCCCCCCCCGCCGTATCACAAAAAGTGGTATCAACCCTGAACTGATTTGAATTTTTGAATTATTCTGATGGTGTCTTTTCTAGTATGAGAAAAAAGAGTGGTTCTCTTAATATTGTTGTATCACATTGAGTCATGAATAATTTCGTTATGCGGGTATTGTTTTGGTTCGGGTCATCACTGCTTTAACGGCAACAGTTGCCAATATTAATTCATTAATCACAATTTTCCGGAAAAAGACTTCCTTTGCGTTTTCCCACATAACATATCACAGAGAGTCGTGTCCTTAAGTCGTATTCCTCAGGAATAGATAAGAGGCATGCCGGTATATGTACGCAATTCTTTTCTTGGGCTACACTATACACTAATATTAACGTAACTCACTGTGGTTTGTTATATAGGCCTAAGCATTAGCCTTCGAATAAAAACTATTGTTTGTCAATATTAGAAACATATCGCATTTGCTGCATCCTTGCACTGAATTACCATTTAGTCGAAATTGAACAGATATCACATTTAGAAAATCCGAAATATGTTTTTTTTACGGGAGACAAAGCAATTATAAACCAACCAAACGTCTCTAGCCGACATTGTGGATGAATAATCTAGTCAATTCTATGTAATGATAACCTAAGCACTGAGTCAGTCAACTAAGGATATCTCAATCAATCTGATTCTCAGAGAAATTACAGCTAAGCACCGTAACCTAATTTAACACTCACCTTAATTTTCTGTTTCAGAAAGTGGGGTTGACGTCTGTTCTTTCATTGCATCATAGCTGGACAAATAAGGAATGGCCCAGCAAGCTTATTTATAGACAGCTGTGTTAGATCAACTGTCCTGTATTATTCCAGTGTTCTGTTGCGTTATTCCATTAGATCCTGTGGTAAAATCTAATTGTTTGAGGCGCGATATTTTGTGGCAACGCTCGCGTGCTTAGCCAAGAGGGCTTAATTGAATAGTCTTTTCGCCCACTGTTGCACAGTGATGCTCTTATCAGTCTCTTACGCATGCAGGCGCCGATATAGTGTCTCTTAGCCGAGTCACATTGCGGCTGCTATAACAGTAACATGGATATAAAAACGTCTATATTTAAACAGTGTTGTAAAACATCGGTAACCGTGAGACGAAAAGCGTGCAAAAATACATAAATAAAATGGTGTAAGAGAGAGAGGAGGACCTAGAGACATAATGACAGATTAAAAAATACAAACCCAAATTTTGTTATCTATTGGCCACTAAATGTTTGTCAAATCATGCTGCATCTGATTTAAATAAAATCCACTAAGAAAATAATTGTCCCAACTGCACGAGGTCGTCTAGCGAAAACGAAGAAAAAAACGTTGTCTGAGAAATACATTAGGGGCACCTAGTACTTTTATCGACTATTGACAACTTATTGTCCCTAAGAAGTTGCAAAATCATTTATCAAAGAGAGAAGCATGTATCTTTAATGTATCAAGCTAAATCCATGTTTCATCTGCTAACTTTTATTTCACTGGGAGGAAGGAATTGCATTAGAGGAGATTCAGGAATTGCTACAGGAGTGATGGACAAGTGCAGCAATGGACAGGTGACAATCTGACACCAGCCCACTTTTCCAGGGACAAGGGGAGTATGTGCTGCTTTCAAAAATGAAAAAGAAATGGTGAATTCATTTTAAGATATTTTCTGTTACTGCTGAGGTATTCATACAACCATTTACATATAAGGGGACATTGCATCGACTCGTACAAGTCTTGTAAAGAAATAGCACTTGTTAAAGTTATTGAGGAGTAAAGTAATACTTAATTCTTGAAGAACAAGGGCAATTGTTCCATTTCCCCATCCTTTAGTGAATTAATTAGCATCTGATGCTGAAATAGTAAAAAAGCAACACAGTTTCATTTATGAGATATTTTCATCTTTTTATTCCAAGTTGTGCTTTGCTTCTACCAGCATAAGTAAAACAAACCATATTTGGTAAAAAAGTTTCAACTGAGTATTTAAAAACTGTCAAAATTGACAGAGTAACCAATATGCCTAATACTACATGGCAAATATCATCTTTACAAGCAACATATTGCACTAATGATATTGGATTGGCATTTGGAGAATAATGGTTATGCACGCAAAAATCAATATAACCTAATAACAGTATGAAATCTAGAAGCACAAATTAATGGGCTTCAGATAAAATTTTTTAAATCAGTCAAAGTACTTTTTTGATAGCATAGATCACATGTATTTTGAACTAAATATAGTTGGTTCATGTCAGTCTACTGTATATGATACCTCTTTCAATGCATCTTTGAAAATGTTTCTTTTGTCGTCTAAAATACAAAAAACTGACCACATAGGAGATTTTAAGACTTAAAACTGCACATAAAACAGTTATTGTGACTAAAATGGCCTTTTTAATATACCTACAATATTCCTCTGTTTGTCACATGGAGCAATAAGTGAAATCAAAACTGTTACAGATACAAAGAAGTTTTTTTCTGGGCAAGCAATTAACACTCTTCACACTCACTGTTAGGCAGCATTATTTAGATTAATAATAGTTTGAACTGGATGGAACTATGGTAATAAGGCCATCATTTCTGGAGCCAGAAAAACCAATTCTTCTGGTAACATCAGGGTTTCCTTTTCACTATACAAGCCTATAAATAACTTATACTACTTCCCTCCCCCTCAAAACGACAACTTATTCAATGACCAATATTGCATTTTTTCCAACTCTTCATTTGTCTTAGTTGAAAAGCAACTCCTTGTAAAATTTGAGCTGGCTGACTATGGAGGTTGTGTAGTTGGTGCTCGTTCTCACCACTTTCATTCTGTCTGCACGCTCGAAATTAGACTTGACAATCTCGTAGTATTCTCCATCGGCTAGCGTGAAGGACATCAGATGTGGGCATCTCAGCCTGTAAAAACAGGTTTACTATCTAAATTAGACAGTGACAACGGTAATTACTCATTAAATTCTAACATAATGAATTAGTCTTTTCCTCTTCAAGGGTTTTTTTGTAAGTAATAGTTAAAATTGTTGATTCTTTCATATTTCTGAAAAGCTGGTTAGTACATTTATCTGAGAAATTGGAAATGATACATCTCCAAAGAGTAAATTTAGATATTGAACAAATAAGGAGTCTGACAATCTAAATAATCACTGCATAATGCTTTAAATTGTGCAACAATATATCTACTTCAGATTATTTGTGTGACAAGTCCTGAATAAATATACTTATTTTAATTAATATCATATAACTATGAACAGACTAAAGCACATTTAATAGTTATGTTTAAACTTTTTGTATTTCTAAAAAAAGAGATTTATCTAGGTAAAAAATAGCTGTTAAACACAAGGCTAAGTATTTCTTCATCGACATAAATCAAACACCACAAAGTATTTCTACATACCTCATTTTGTCATTAATACAAGACATAAATATACTTGATAAGTAAGCTATTAACTCATCACCTGATATGGTCAATGAACTTGCTGCTCTTGTCACTGAACCTAATGGTGGAGGGGTCCCACTGGACTTCCAATCTCTCCATCAGAGGGCAGTTCTGTGCAAAGGTCTCCATGATCATGTCCACATGGATTCTAGTGGATATCTTCAAGAACCAGCCATTAGCTGTTCCTATCACACAGATCCTGAATAGCAGAGGTTTCACATTTAAGAATGAAGCACTAACTGTGTTTTTGACTAAAAGTATGTAAAACAAACAGTAAAATACAGTTTCTAAAGACCCTGGGAGTCAAATAGACATCATATGCTATAAAAGACCCAATGTGTACAGTCAGTGAGATTTGAAGCACCACCCAGGTCTCAAGAATGAAACTAATCATCAAGCTAGGGGCTTACTTCATATTCTTGAAATATGGGATCACATTGAGCCAGAACTGCTCTGCCAACTTTGGTTTCCCTGCGGCCATTAATCCCTCCAGCTGAGGGCCATATTTTCGTAGGAACTTCTGCAGGACGCTCTCATTCAAGCTGTCTGTTTGACTGACATCAATGGACTGGATACGGTTTAACTTGCCTTTCTCCATCAGTGCTTCCAACACCTAGATAGACGAAAAACATACTACAGATAAAGAGATAAGTTTGAAAGATGCAGTGAAATCCAAATATAGCCTCTCATTATCCACAAAATAGAATTCAAATGTCATAATTCAATAGTATGGAATTGCCAATAATTTTCAGTTAACATTTTGACTGTGTTTATTACTGGTCAAAGTAAGCTTAACTATACTAGTACATACATATACCACTGCTTTCTTTCCTTACTTTGCATGATATCAACTGGCATCTTATTTTCACCAAAAGACAAACTTATCAAACTTAAAGTTAAGATTCCTTATGGTAAAGTTTCTTTATCAGAGCAAATATACCCCCTCTAGAAAAAGAATAATGATTTAATTAACTTTTGTAAGTTGTGGAATCTTCCAGTCCTTATCTTTAAATCTTGCCTGTTTTATCACTTACACACCAGCACTACAACTCTCATGGTTCATGTATCAATATCACGTGGCGTATTTAACTACCTTATCACTGAAGTATTCACAATGTCCCACTGACAGGTACTTGAACCCAGGCATCCTACCCAGAATGTCAACCATACAGTTACTGGACAACTCAGTACAGGAGATGTCCAGTTCATCTATCACTGTGTGCTCCCATTCTACAGCCTGCATGTATTGGTCTTTAAGATCTGTAATACAAAATTAATCAATAGAAGGGTGATATTATTCTAAAATAGTACTAACACAGATTACGGATTGAATTCTTACACTCTGTGTAGAGGTTAGAAATAAAAATTATTTTAAAAGCTCTGTATACATTTAAACAATGTTTATTTTAGAATTCCATAAGAAATAATAACTGAAGACACTGCAATTTTGAGATTTTTTTAACTAAAACAATGTATCCCTACTGCCATTTGCTTTCAATTTTGGCATCTACTCCAACTACACCTGAAACAAACATATCTCAACCTACCACAGTGTTGCAGCAGAAGGCACTTAATCTTCTTGCACCTGGAGGTCAAGGTCTTTAGTGCTTTGCCCTTGACCCTTAAACAGAAGTTCAATGCCAGGCACTCAAGGTGGATGCAATTGCTGGACAAAAGCTCAACATGAGTGTCATCCACAAAGCTGATCCCATACAAGTTGACAATACGCAAGTTGGGAGTGTGGGCTTTGATTTTGCTGATGTTGATGACCTCATAGATCTCCTCTTCTTCATCATTAGACAGTTCAAATGTACCTAAAAGACAAATTCATGCTTGTCAATACAGTAAAGAATTACATTTGGAATTCCATATTACTGTACAAATTATAGCCATGTAGCATATCATAACTGGGGACCAAATTTAAATCTTTGCAAATAATCCATTCTTTACTGAGGACTTTACATAAGCGCAAATTGCATGTTGAATTGAGAAAACAGCTCATGTGGCAAAAATCAAAGTGGCAAACAGATTGGTCTCCTTAATGTCACCAATATTCTGTATCTATACATTTGAATCAGCAATAAAAAATGCCATTTAATGTTACCAATAATATAATTAAGCTAGATAGACCTCCATTTGTTTCATTGAAAAAATTTTGGTGACTGATATTACTTACCAATAAGATGTAGAACAGACAAGGAAGACAAACAGCTGTAGATTCTACGCATGAACCCTTCCATAAAGATCACCTCAGAGAGACAAATACACAGGCTTGTCAAGTTACAGGGGAAGGCGTTGAGGTCATTGAAATCATGAAGCTGCATGGCATTGGAGAAATCCAAGGTAATGAAATTCAGATTGGGGCACTTGTTGGCAAGCTCGTGCACCACTGGTGCTGTCACCAGCTCACAGGGAAGCTCAATGGTGTGCAGCGTGGAGCCAAACCTCACTGAAATAAGCGCCAACAGCGACTCAATGTTGTTCACATGGAGGCCGCCATAGTCAGGGCGAAGGGAGACAACACGCCACAGACGACTGTCATAGGCAATCATCCGCCATTTTCTACACACGCTGGCAATGTGGCACAGGTCTTGGTGCTTCAAGAATGAGAAGATGTGTAGAAGGATCTTGTCAGACAGTTTGTCCATAGTGACCTGAAGTAAATGAAATATCAATCATGAAAGGTATGGATACTTTCTAACCTTTGCATGTTTTTTCTGGTGATGTCAAATGTCACTATTTGAAATTAAAATGTTAAGAATATATGAACTGAACAAAGGTGCATGCTAAGCGCAAAAGGGATGTTTAGTAAATATAGACATACAAATATGTGTTTGTGTGTATTCCCAGCACATCTATGAAACACAATTAAGGTGCAATTTAAGATACTATATTACAAATATTAAGGAAGGCAATTTATGTTAAAAATATACCAATCAAAAGAAAGCAATTAATGTTAATGACAAAATTAAAAACTTTTACTTATATAATAAGAGAACAAGACTTAAATGTTGAAATATGAATCTTCAATAATAAAAAAAAAATTCTTTGTTGTAGCATATGTAGATAAATAATAACTAGTTTGTTTAACCAAAATATTTAGGACTGTGATCAGAATAGAAGTTTTCATAGTAGCAGGGTCGAACTATTTCAGCGGGGATCCTCGCTAAGGTGCAGTCAATGTTATCAGCTTAATTGTCTTGTATATCTTCATAACTTTAAGTACTTTGGTAAAGTCTGGACCTCTGTGATCCATGATGTTATACATGTTGCTTTGCATGGGGATGTGCCATACAACTCAGCTGATTACATTGACTGCACCCTAGCGAGATTCCCTGGTGAGATATATCAATCCTACTAGTAGGAAAACTTCTATTCTGAACACAGCCTAAGTTAAAAGAACAATCTGAGCACAATTCAACTTCAACGTGCAATTTAAATGCACTGTAAAACTACCTCAACACATATGAAGGATTTTCCTCATTTTATTACACTAAACATAAGTCCTTAAACTACCAGGCAACTCAATTATCCCTAGTACATGTTGATTATCTTGCATTCTGGTGTCATTACAGTGGTGTAAAATAACTACAAAAGCCAAGGTGACCACACTGCCCTAGGGTAAAGTACTTAACAGTGCCACAAGTTGCATGCTAGGAAAGACTTTCTTATTTTGCCAAATATATGCATCTATAGCGTGCACTATCAGTGATCAATGACATCAGAAACAGTAACACACACCATGCAAAATGGAGGGGTCTATCTCGCTCTTGCATTGCAATGACTGGGGATGTGCAACACACGCCGTTCATCATCTCCACCAATCTAAAGTCATCAAAAATACCCTGTGGCTGCTGAAACTCTCACTCCGTTCGACTTCATAATGTGGCGCTGTTAAAGCTTCGCTTGCAATTTGATAGAAATGTGAATGAGAGACGTCCATTTTCTTGGGAGCGAAAGGTTCAGGTAAAAATAGACACTTCTGACGTCCGCGCAAAGTATCATATTTCTCCCAGGTGAGCTGAGTGGTGGTTGTTTATTACAAATGTTTCGGTAAGTTACACCCGAGTTTCACTGCCTTTAAGAATAATGTAAGGTGCTCATTCATTGTGCAGAGACACGTTGGTAAATATTGAATATTTTACCGCCTAAGGTTTTTGTCTTTAATGAACGTTCATTAAAGACATCCACATGTAGCAATTAACAACTAAGGTATAAACTAGGTGCCGAATGTTAGGCTTTCTAGGTCAGGTCAAGACGTGAAGTCTGTGAACTTTGAAGTATGGAGTTGCTATTAAAATGACAACAAGGGCTTCGCCGTTTCAGTAAGGACAAAGTCGGCAAGATGACAGGGAAACTATGGACACTGATTCTGTTTCTGTCGTTCTTGTACTTTATCGAAGTTGAAGGTCGAGGGGAAATTCACCGTGCAAGACCATCGGGGGTAGCCGCTTCAAAACAGACGGCTACGTCAACACAACCCGCTTTGGATAAAACTTTGACGAATAGTTACAATAACTTTGAGACAGAAGAGGAAACCGATGCTAGGGACTCACAGTCTCAGAAATACTCAGATATTGATAATGAGGGAATCTCATCTAGGACAGAAGCATGGGTATATTCTATAATTTCATCAATATTAGTTGGGCTAAGCGGGATATTCCCTCTACTCGTCATTCCGATTGAAGCAGGGCCTTCTCTTAAACATGGCGGTGAGTTAAACAACTTTGAAAAATTGTACTTAAAGTTTTTGTGGTTTTAAATTTCCCTTTTTGTGTCAGAAAAAAAGCTCATGTTAATGTCGGAGACTATTCCTCCTTCCTTTAAATAGTAATGAAAAAACATCGATGCTCAAAAATATATTTTATTTTTGACATTTACACTGTATTTGCAATCTTATTCATTTTTAGTCATGCACCAAAATGTCATATGGAGATCCTTTGATTTATGTTTTTAAATTTTTGTGCACCAAAATGTCATATGTAGTTCCTTTGATTTATTTATTTAATGTGTTATTTTATTGCTCCAAATTCTCTTAGGCAGTTCCTCTGATTTATTTCTGTAGTGCCAAACGCAGGGTAGAACCGGCCGGATAGCTCAGGCGGCAGGGCACTCACCCTGTTAGCGAGAGGTCCGGGGTTCGATCCCTGGTCTGGCTGGTAATTTTTCTACACTCTCCCAAAAAGGCGCTACATTTCTTTCTTTGTCTTTTTTTTTTAAAGTTGGTATAAGGCCAGCTGTTTTAAGAAGAAAGAATACTGTGCTATATGTGAAAAATTAAAATCTTCATATCCACAGTTCAAAGTTTGTCCCACCTTTCACAATTTTTTTGCAGTATTTCTTGTATGTTGTAATCGTTTGACAACCATCTATGTATCTTTATATTATGAAATGGTATTTTTATATAATGGAAATTTTATTGTGTATGTTTTTGTTGGTGTTAATTTTTATCTGATCACTTGTTATATTATTTGTGGTGTGGATGTCTAGCACATCCATCTTTTTATTCAGGATATTTTAAGGCTTTTATTGCATCCTTTTAATAGTAAAATGCATATAGATCTTTACTTATTTCTGTGAAGTGAAAATAAAAATTAGATTAAGCCAAGTAAAAAAAAAAAAAAAACAAAAAACTCTGTTTAATATATGTATGTGGTGTTTAAACTTGGTAGAGTATTGGCCAGCAAGTGATGGAAAGTTAATAAAAATGCCAGGATGAATTTTGTTAGTAGGTTATTTTTAATATCCAAAGTCCCTCTAACTGTTTCTTTTATTTCTATGCAAACTGAATTGTGATTATTTATTTCTTCATTTGTGTGTGTGTGTGTGTGTGTGTGGGGGGGGGGGGCAACTATAATGCATACTTTTGATTGTAAGTCTGACAAAGACAATCCAAAAGTTGAAAATATTTTATCTTATAGACTTGAAATTACTGAATGCATAAAGGAAATTTATCTGTTATAAAATTGCCAAAACATTCATTTAACATACTGCTATTATTTTGTTATCATTTAACTCCTACATATGTTTATTTCATGTTTTATTTGTATGAACAGATAGAAAATGACTTCTTTAATTATATTACAGCAAAAAGTATGTGGGGGGGGGGGAGGGACAGAAAATGTTTGGCATAGGTAAAACTTGGCCTAAGAGCCAAGTCTGATTTTGTTTATAAGCCCAAGGTCACAAAGCTACAAAAATAGTGGTTTGGTAAGCAGGCGACCCATATATATATAGAAAACGAGTCAACTATTTTGAAATGCAAATGATATTAACAGCTAATTATTTAGAAGTTTACATTCTACTTTTGTTCAGTATGGTGGCATGACCTGGCAACTGTATTGTTGTGAAAATGCCTAGTTGCTTTATGTGTCCATACATGTGTCCTGTAGTCACCTTGACAGGGGCTGTTGTGAAACTTCGTGTTCTCATTTTCTCCAGTACAAGTAGCTGCTCCTCATACCACATGTTGTTCTGGTTTATAATTGGCTTGAAGCAGTTCTGCTATTTCCTGAGGCCAACAAGCTTAACCTGAGGTTCAAAATGCTGTGGGTGACTTTATGCTGCCTTGCATTGAGCTGTTGTCACTACAGCTGGAAATTGTGCATGCACGACACACACTCTCGCATGCCATAGAGCTAAAATCCCTCTTAACTCAGGGTACAGCTGAATTTAAAAACAGAAGGTTTTTGTTTTTCAACGAAAAGTTATACTTTTCTGTTACCATAAGCCTATAAAGATTTCTTGAGGAAATACCAAGTCCAACCTTTTTCATAAGCAGTAATCACCCAGCTTTGAAAATCACATATGATATAATTATGGGTTTATTTATCATATTTGACAAATGAGACATGATAATAATTGAGAAAGAAATAAGTGACAAAAGGAAATTGTGAAAATGAGAATGGGCCGTGAAAGGGAAAAGTAGTGTGTGTTGCCTTATTTCAAGTAAAATATAGCTGTAGGAGTGGATATGAGTATATATGTGTGGTTGCATTGTGGGGCAGTCAACCAGGCAGTTCATGCAAGGATTCCTCCTGTTCATAATCAAATGCACTGCTATATAATGAAAATAGCATTGGGCCTTGTATTAAAGTAAACATGAGGAGGAATGATATGGATGACTTAACTTGGACAACACCGTACATATAAGAATGCTTCTTTCTGGTATAAATTCCCTCAAAGCCTAACTTGGACAACACCGTACATATAAGAATGCTTCTTTCTGGTACAAATTCCCTCAAAGCCTACCTTATCACGTTGTCTTAGTTTATGTAAGAATAGTTTCATGCCCCACCTGCGTCCGTCCCATTGATAAGAAGTTATGGAACGTATTAAAACTGTACATATGATAGTGCTATGTGAGATGGTCTTGTAGAGTTGATCTCAGATTTCACGAAGTTCATGTGGTTGAGTGTAGTAGTTTGGAAGTTAGTTTTAATTGTGCCAAAAGACATATCTACTGACTGGCTCTAGTTTTCAGTAACAAAAGTAAAGAGGTTTATTACTGCTTAATTCATAGAACATACTTGATGGCGTGTAATGTCCACTTCTATAAAAAGAGGAAGAATATGCAGAATAATGAACATGGGGCACGTTAGATTAAGAATATGGCCAAACATAATCTTTCAGATGTATGGTAGTTTCATGGTATTTATAATCTCGGTGATGTTTTGTCCTCAAAAAGAAAAAAATATTCCTACCAGTTAAGTTCATTATATTTTAGGTAAGGTAAGGTTTTTATCCTTTTTTATGAGACAGAAAGAGTTGGAAACAAAAAACGGCTATGGAATGGACATTGTACATTACAATTTTTCATTAAATGCTTCTTAAAAAAAAGAAATGAAACCATCCTTTTGTCTGTTATGTCATTGTACTGCTATGATACCTGACCACTTAAACACTGAACAAACCCACACTCATTCCCAAGTACACTAAAAACAGAGGCACCTTTATGATGCTGGCTCACTTTGTTTGTGTGCTATCACAGCAATTTGGTGAGTGTTGCATGTCAGCAACTAATAGAGGTGTTCTGTACGTGTGTGGAGACATGTCACTAGGATGGTGAAGTATCAGAGACCTTAGTATGAATGATAGCAAGAATACATTGATGAATTAATTGATATTTAATAAATTGTCAATGGCTTAATTCACCTTTTGGTAGGGAACATATTTATTGTGTTTGTTTGAAACAGACTTTGTAGTTTGTACACGCTTTTTAATAAGTTAAAAAAACTTAAAGGAACAGGGAGGCTTGTGATTGAAAGGGGTATTGGGGTGCAAATCCACTATTCCAATATGAAATAATCTTAATTAAATATCCAGGGCTTAGAGATTGTTATGTCAGTTTTATCAAACTATTAGGTTGCTGTCTTTAATGTGTTGGGTCTTTTCTTTAATATAAAAATCTAAATGATAACAGGTGGGTTGAACTTAGTGCATCAACCCTTTCTCTGTAAGTAGATATGTTAACTTTGCACGTTGATGGGTCTGCAGGTGTTATCCTTGCCAGTTTGCAATCAGCTTAGATGTCAGAATATGTGAAATATATTTTAGCAATGTTTCTGAGAATATTTAGACATTAAACCATAAAGAGCAACACTAGTTAAAAGAATGCAGAAAATAACAACTTGTTATCCATCTTCTGTGACTGGGTGTTCACAGCCGAGTCTGGAAGGTAGTAAGTATATAATATTGAGTAATATTATAAATAGGACTGTTCAGTATTATAAGGCAAAATGACTGGATGATATTTATGAGGATATGCTCTTATGTATAGCTTCACCTGTTTCATTGATTTAGATGTGATTATATACATGGGGCTATAAGCTACTACAGAAGTAGCTGGCTACAAAGTGAAAAAAAATAAAGTTATATAATAATTACCAGAATGCTGGATGAAATTATTGAAACCAATCATAAATTGAATATATTAGCTTTTTAAAAATGAATGAAATTTGAAATGAAAATTATCTAGAAAAAGAAAACTTTTTTAAATGGTCATGTGAAAAAAAAAGAAGAAAAAGAAGTTGACGATGATGATAATGACGATGAAGATGATGATGAGAGAGAGAGACTCTTTTCAAGAAAGCTATGATTCAGGAACCATGCAGAGAAGAGATACACCTGTCTTCTGCTTAACAGAATGAAGAAGCTCAGGGAGCTCGATATATCTTCCCCCTAGCCCCAGCTCTATCTAGAGCAAGTGGTTTGAAAAGGCAATTGCCACAGAAATCAAGGCTGAAAATAAAGCATAACATAACATAACATACTTTTCTACTTCTACTTGCCTTGTCTGGTTATTATGAAGCATCAGTGACTATCAGCATGCACAGACATGGGTTGCTTTCTGAGAACCCATGTATAACTACCTTGCAAACAACTGTTTGGTGGCTTTCATTCCTTCCTAACCTTTTGCCTCTAAAGCACTTTGGCAAAGTTGGCAAAGGAAAGAAAAACATTATTTTCTAATTGGGTTGTCTACAGAATTTAGCGAAAAAAGGAAGTGTTTTGTTGGTTCTGACGATGTGAAAAACAGGTTTTGCACTGATTTAAGCACACTTGTGGCACAGACTGAGACATTTCCAACTTCAGAGAAGAAATGAATACAAACTGTGTGTAGCATTATGCACTGTGTGGATAAATCATCCCAACCTGTATGTAAAGACCAGACTTATAGTGGGGAAAATAATTGGGCTAGTGACTTATGAAAATTAAAAAACAACTTCCTTACCTCCATCCGTCTTCTGCTCACTCTGTCTTTTGAAGATGTATTCTGTTTGTTTTTTTTAATTCTTCATCACAAGCTGTGGCATGGATATAGGTTGTCCTGCAGTACAGGGTGAAGAATTAATATTGTGTGTAATTAATAGAGTGGCACTTTGCAGCAGATTTTCCTGGCAAGTTCAGTTCTCTCATGATCTGTCATCAAGTACGAAAAACTCTGTTAAAAATCCTCAGTTGCCAGAAAAATTATGCCCACCAAGACTGTAGAAATGGAGATCTGAGATTTTTCTGTGCAAATTTCCAGAAGTCTGCCACCCCCTACACCTGTTTTCTCAGCTGAGAACTTGGCCACAAACATTCATGCTAATTTTACCCTCAGGTATAGAGAACGTGTTAGTGTCTGATTGGGGAAAGTTTAATAAAGTTGTTGTTGGCAAGATAAATGGATACTTAATATATTTTCTTATGTGTTCATTTATATAACATGCAACAACTGAATGTAGACAGTGTATATATAGACTGTCTCTTGAGTGTGAAGGATATATTGGTATTTAACGGTGAAGGCATTGGTGAGGGAACTTTCCTACTTTGGAATGTATTTTGCCATTTTGTATATCAGGTAATTCTGCTTTTTGTGCTCTTTTGTGAAGGTGTTCTTTGGATTTGAAAAAATGATATAATGACATTGATTAATATGGTATGGAGGGTTATTCAAGATCAAACTGTAGTTAAGTTGTATTTTATTCATAAGTTTTTTTTTATTCTTTTATCCAAGTATTTCCAGACTATTGTATAAATGTGCAAAAAAAACTGCTGTGTTAGTGTTTATAATTTTTTTATTATTATTTTTATTTTTCTGCCAGCTCCTGCCAATCGTCTGAAGCTTCTGCTGAGTTTTGCAGTTGGTGGCTTGCTGGGAGACGTGTTTCTACACCTGTTACCAGAGGCTTGGGCACATCTGGACAAAGGTGAGACACAAGCCACATTTATAGTTTATTCACAAGTAGGGCATTCATGTTTCTCTCTCATTTTGTCTGCTATAGAGCTGATATTTGGTGATTTTCTGCAAAATTAGAACAAAAATTTTACTTTTATTTATCCAACAAAGATTGATTAAGCTTCAAAAAATGTCACAGACAGATCCTTGATCTATTTTTATTAGAAGCAGAAAGTGGAAAATTTTGAAAAATCAAAATGTTTGATAATGCTGAAGTGTTTGAAATTTCTGGAAAAGTACTGTAATGGGTCATAATCCCACAGGGTAAGAGCATTTGGCTGGTGTAGGTCTACAGCCTTTTGTCATTAAATTATTTACTGACTCTGGTTGTTGGATCTAGCTTCTGACACCTAAACTTTTCTTTGCATGACAGTAATGTAATGATTCAAACTAAAGACCTCTTTTTGATCAAATTTGTTTTGTGAATCAGACCCCCCAACAAAAAAAGAACAGAAGCTAAATTGTGGTGTGTGTGTGAATGGGTCTTTACAAGAGCTGTGGATATTGGCATATGTACAGAACTGATGAGCACACTTGCAGAAAAGTGAAACAGGGGGCACATTTCCATTACATCATGTTCTTGCAAAAATGAAGCTAGAGGTTATATGAGGTAGCATATGCTGTTTTTATGCCAACATTATGTTTAGAGAGGCTGGGTGAGGTAACAAGGAATTTAATGGCATGAATGTATTTATGACCACACAAACAGTGTCAGACTTGGATGTTAGTTAAGTCCACCAGAGTTCAGATAAAACTGGTCATAAACATGGACTTGAGAACATGTGCAGTATTTACCTACTTTCCCCATCATTAGTATATCCAAGGAGTTATAACATCTGTTATAACTCCTTGGTATATCTTTCATCAAGATAAATAATATTGTATGAAACTTTGGATGAGAGGAGAGTCAAGTGTAAAGCTGTTTATTTGGTGTGCCTTTAGGACTTTCTGGTTCTATCTCTATGTATTTGCTCTTTACATAAGCGATTATAAGAAGAGCTGGTGAAAAGCTCATTTATCATAACAGGAAAAAAATACATCATTAGCTCCTGCAGTTATACTAGCTGCTGGAAGGAGAGTTGAAACATAACTATAGATAACTAAAACAGGCCAATAGGTAGAAGGAAGTAGGAAGATTTGCCTTTTTGACCAGACAAGATCCACCCTGACCCCCACCCTGATTGCCTGAATAAAAATTTGATCTGGGTTCTTGGTCATTTTGCAATTTGGGGCAACTAAGGGGATAAAAGCACCAGTTTTTCAGAAAGAGAACCCCATGATTTGGAATTAGTGGCTACAGGCCTGTCATACAGATGCCACATCTACATTGCCTAAATTTTGACTCTGGGGCCTGTGGAAGACCTGGTAAACGGATTCCTATAGAATCCTATGATAGAAAGTGCTACCTCTAGGATTAACCTTATCTCCCTCAGTCTATTTCTCTTTTTAAATTTTTTCTTTGTGATTGTGTCTGTGACCTTAATTTAGATGTTTTTGCTTAGAAGTTGCATAATAGCTATTAAAATAACTCTCTAGTTTTTGAGTGTAGAGATCAGAAAAAAAGAGCAAAACAAAAACAAAGTGATACAGTTTGTTTGATAATATTTCCTTTATTCATCCTTTTTTATAAAAGTTTATAGAATTAAAAAAAGATAATAAGATGATGATAATTTATAGTTACATATATTTATAATCTTGACAATTGATGTATTTAAAATGAATATTGTTCAAAATCTGTAAGCAGAAAATGTACAGTATTTCATGTAGCATTATTTTATAAGATATTTTGCATAAAACTAAATATGTTGTTTAACTTAAATATAACTATTTCAGAAGGACACGATCATGATGGTCACATAAGGGTGGGACTGTGGGTGCTAACTGGGATCCTTGCTTTCCTGATCATAGAGAAAGCTTTTGCAGAAGAGGATGAATTTGAACATGTGAGTTATTTCAGTTGTAGTCACCAAAGAATAATGTATGACCAAGGGAAAAAAGAGCATTCCACATGCACATACATAGGCATGAATACTAAGGAACATATGAACACATATATATATACACTTGCACACAAATATGCACAAAGCAACAGATATTAGTAGATGCCAGCTGATGGCACTTGACAATTCTAAATGCTAAAAAGCAGAAATATGTACATTAAATATATAATCAAACATAAGGAAGTCTGGATAAGACATAAATGTTTCCTGAACCTCCATTTGAACTTTCATGGGGTAAAAATAACACTCTTGACCGGAGATGGTCCAGGCCAATGACACGTTTAACTTATTGACCTATCTCTGATATGTGACTGGGACTTAATGATTAACCAAAGCAATCTCAGCTGATTGCATTGTATGTGTGTTGCAGACAAGATTGAAATCTAGGCAGATCTGAAAATTGCTTGGGCATGATTGAAAATTTAATCTTGCCTAAGTGAGAAAGGAGTTTCAATCTTGATTTTCCAGGATTTCAGTCTTGCCTACAACATGTTATACAGGACACAAGAGTGTGGTAAACTTTATTTGAAATGTATGCTGTATTATTAGAGATAGGTCAGCACTTCTCAGTGTGACCCTTTGTAACCGGCTGTCTGATGAAGCTAACTTTACTATGGCAAAAAGTGTAATCCATTTGTTCTCTCACTCACAGCATTACCCACCCTGGCATGACATTCATCTAACACCTAAGAAATGAGACAAGTTTCACCAAAGAACTTTAGTCTGAAAGTTGGTCTAAATTTTAGATCAGAATTTTGGTCTGAGTCAATTCAGGATAAAACTGGCAGTAGTCTACTGAAACTGACTTACCAATGGCCCTAGTTTTTAACTGTTTGTTTTTTTATGAAACATGCTGTGTAATACTTTATATAATTGGGCTATAGCTGATTTAGTGGACTAATATTTCAGCCAAGAAGTGTACACCAGGCTTCAGTCTAAATTTCTTTTGTTAGTCAGGCCAGGCACCAGAGGATGTACTGGACTCTGTCAGATAGTGCTTGTGTTAGAACTGCTGTTGAGAAACTCCCAAAATTCGAACAAATCTAATGAGTAATATATAGCAAGACTTTGTTGTCTGAGATATTTTTTTATTGATTGTATAAAAAAACTTAAACAAAAGAGATGTATGGAAGTCAGGAATATTTTTGTAAGTTGTGGATATTATTAATCACAAAATAAGATCTTTTTCAAGGCGAGGCTGTGTGAATTTACTCAGTAATTACCAAAGTTGGCCATGTGGTACATTGCAGAATACCATCATATTTTTACCTAAAGCCCAAATAGCTGCCCACATACTTACAGGCAGTCATTGTGGAGTTGTTGAAAATACTAGGCCTCCAAATTTGCAGCAAATTTGCTGCAAACTTTTCATTTTGCTAAGGGTGCATGGTTATGATAGTTCATTAGATTAGATAGATATCATGATCAAATATAGGTGTACAGATTTTTAATATCCATTTTTCTCTTTAATTAGAAATATTATCATTGCAGTAATAGATTGAGTCATGCAGTTTAATTAAGTGACAGACAGAGCACATTGGGACCCTGCCTCCCCCCCCCCCCCTCCCATAACAGCTTATCTTATTTAATATTCTAAAATTGAGTTATTTCACAGAGAAAAAAGTTTTTTAATGCTACATGTGAAAGGAAAGGAAATAAATATATAAGAAATATATTTCATATTCCATGTTTGACCCCCCCTACCCCCCCCCCCCAAAAAAAAGGAAGAAAATTATTCAAGATTATTGTAATTTTATGTTATCATTCAAAAGCACCACTTAAAATTAAACTTTTCATTTTTTCATTAGTCATGTCTGACTCACACAAACTACCCTGAGTGTCAGGACCACTGTGAAGCTAGATTGTTAACTGTTGAAACGTTACGACGCGATAGCTTCACAGTGGCTCTTAGGAACAGCGACCATGTTCGACTTCCTTCAATCAAAAAGAACTGCTCCGCAGTGAATCTGCAGCTGAATGTCATTAAACCAAAATGAAATGTAAAACAGATTTAATTCTGCTTTATTTAATTTTATTTACTGTATTTAAGATGTAAAGTGAAAAAATAAATAATATTCTTCGAAAAGAAAAAGATATATCCAATGTTTTTGTATTTTTTGCTTATCAAAAAACATTTGCCCCTGGAGGTATGAACACAATACACGTGCTTGCCGTGTGCCAAGTTTGACAGCTACACTGTATGCCCGATACCACTATAAGGGCTTCGCAATGGCTACACCAAAATGTGACATACGACACGTGTAACTTCCAAATATGGAAGCGCCCCAGGCAAAATTTTGAAGAAGAATGCCCACTGCTTGACGGTGTTCGCTAGAGCCTGGTATTGCTGATATGGGTTATATATGAAATCAAGATCAAGCTGGCAATACCTGAATCTAGAGCCTAGGGTAACACAAACAAGATGAGGTGGTCAATAAATTCTGTTGTCTCCTTGGCTAAAATTTTGCTACTCACCAAACCAAAATCAAGGGCCCTGTTTCTGAAAGTCAGCAGTGTGGAAGCCCTCAGCATTGATCTTTTTGAAGCAAATAAGGGAAATTTCCATTTCAAAGGCACTCACGGGAATTCATGGAACCTTCAACAGGCGTTTTATTGGATTTAACAAAAAAGTTATTGAAAGTGCTGATTGATTTGAGCCTTTCAGACCTGATAGAAACAAATTAGATTTGCAGTTTTACTTTTCTGTTTTTGCCTATTTAATCACTGACAACAGTGCTATTTTTTGCTCATGAAGGTTTTATGAGGCAATCTATTTGTGATATTATTTTCAAGAGAGGGCATCATTTGCAATCAATAAATAATACCATAAATGGCACTTCTGACATAAACCCCCTAAGCATGTTTTAAACACTTAGTAGAAAGACTGAATTTGTTGAAGACATTTATGAAACATTAATTTCTCTTTCCATCTCCTATTTAATAAAAAAATTGGTAAATACTTTTTTTAATAGATGCAAAAGAGATGCTATAATTATGTCATTTTTTATTGTATTCAAATTGTGATTTCACCATCTGTTAAATTGAAGGGGTTCTTTTCAGGTCTTGGTAGTCTTGTGAAAGGATATTGATAATTTTAAAAAATGTATTGAGATTGATAAAAAGTCCATTATTTATGGCGTATAGCTAAGAAATTGCAATCAAAAATGTTACCAAACATTATTTCTGGCTTGGATGTTATTCATTGCTAGTTTGAGGTTTGTTTTTAGACTGTTTAGTACATTCAAGGCTTATTCAGTCAAATACCAGTATAATTTGGATGTTTCTATTGTTCACTAGCTGTACAATGACAATATATTGTTTCTATTTATGAGACCTGCGTACATAAAAATCTGCCATTGGCTTTTGTATTTAAAGGGTATTGTACTCGACATCATTAAAATGGGTCAGATAATAAGGAATAATTTAAGATTATCTTCACATCTATATGTATTTTACATAGATAATTGACTTCTAGATTTGTTGATTGTAATTGATAATGAGTTATAGAATATTGTGATTAGTACAAAAAGAGACAAAAAACCATAACTTATGAAAAAAGGTGAAGTAGTTTTTTGATCCCTGTTTTTTATGATGTTAAGTATATAGTCGAAAGGTAGAACGGAATTAATTCTGAAAAAGAAAACTTTATAATATTCTTGAAATAGACTTTAAGAAGAAGTTTAGAAAAAATTCTCAATAATCCTTGGACTTTCAGTAGACCTGGTGAATGAAACATATGTTATTGGTTTGACGTTGGTATGTAAGATTTGAAAATTTGGATTCTTAAGGGTCAGTATGTGTAGCCGGCTCCACCTGTGTCACATTTGCAAAACCAATTACAGCCATTTATTCAAATTCACCCACCGTTTCACCCTCTCCCAACTGGTTGCTGTCATCCTTGGTTTAAATGTATACTATTTTGTTCTTATTTGTCAGTAGATATTCATTCTGGTGTATCAGTAATGAGTTTATGTATTGGAATATATTCAATGTCCTCTTAATTGAACATTATGGTTAAAAGGATACCATGTAACTGTGTTGTATGACCACAATTGCTATGTATCCATACACAAACTTAATTCAGTAAACCATAATGTTTCACGATTGCCCTTGTATGTTTGTTAATAAAAGTGCAAAGGTATTTTGAATAAAATGTGCATTTAAATGTGAATTTTGAACAAATTGAGTTATTAGATTTTGCATACGCATCTGTTTTAGAAATGACTTGTACAAAACTTATTTTTACCTTGTTGTTTTAACAGCTTGAAGATGAATGCAGTGAAGCAGAAGAGGAAGAAAAAGAAGAGCAAAAAGCAAATGAGCAGTATGCAAAGGTTACAGCCAATGGAATCACAGGGAATGAAAAAAGATATGATTTACGTCACAGAAAAAATGGAGAAGTAATACAAAACGGCAACTCCAGTCTGTCTACAGAAAATGGCCACAGCAATGGGGTTGACAAAATAGACAATGCACAAAAATCACTGAGTTTGAAAAAGAAAAAAGATAGTCTTCCTGAACAGTCGCACATAAAGGTATATATGGGGAGGTGTTTTCTTTTCCAGGGGCATATGTTCAGCTAAATAATAACATAATATGTTCATTATCTGGCCTTTTGAGATTCTATCTAAGGTATGGCACCAAGGACATATATCAGTTGTTTTGATATATTTGAAAATTTACTGCCAATGTCTGTTTGTAAAAGTCTGCATGTGACTGATAGGGGTCTTGAACCTTTTTTGGCAAATTAATAGACTGGTATAATAGATCCATTATGCAGGATCACAAACATACAACTACACTTAATTGTTTTTTTTTCTTGGCAAAAGACACACTGTATCATAGGGTAGAATGCAACTCTTTTTGAGGTTTTGTGTCTTGATTTTAGAAATAGGGCAAATAAACCTGATATCATAGAAGGATCTGTTCTGGCTGATTGAATGCAGCATCATATAACTGGTGCACTGTGTTGAATTACACCTGATAACACCATCAGTGCAAGATGTTGTTCACAGGCTGAGGATGAAATGATCTTATTTTGAACGCAGTACCATGTACTATTGAATTATAGTATTCCCTGCCCGTTTTATCAAAACACTAAATTTGTGTATGTTGACAAAACCGTGACAAACGTGACTGAAATATCAGAAGACCACTTGCATTCTTTAAGCAAGTAAAAAGGGAATGGAGAACTCATGGTTGCAGTTTTGCATCATAAAAATTAAAAATGCAATATTTGTCTTAAAGGCTCTGAACTTGACACATCTTTATTAAGCTGTTCCAATGGCTAGATGTCAGATGTGGCCATCAACCTTTCATGGTCATTTCCAGTATGTAGAGCATGTGGTCTCACAAGTTGATGTGGGTTGGGTTATCACTGGAAGTTAATCATTACACTTTGGCTAATCTTAGTACGTCTAGAGATCCCAGGAGTAATATACAACTTTATCACCATAGTGTATCAAGGTACATGATAGTTTATTCGATATTATATCACTGAGATGATATAAATAGTAGTGATCACTGATATATTTACCCCCCTTTTTTTTTTGCAAGTTGTTCACTCCCACATATTTCTCCTTCAAATTCCTCCTAATTTCCACATGTGAATATTGATAATAGCAAAGTCTTTGCTTTGCAGCTGACAATTTATAATCTATGACAAGATTTATTTTAGAAAAAATTTTTTCTATCTAACCTTCAAACCCAAAGTCCAAATTTGCCAATGCAGAATGGATAATTTGTCATCTTATTATATACTTATGTCTAAGATATTGAGAAATCATACATTGATATAAAACTCTCCATCACATTTTTTTGTTGTATTTCTTTCTCACATTATTTTCCCTGTTTTCAGGTGATAGGATGGTTAAACCTTGCAGCCAATGTCATAGACAACTTTACCCATGGTTTGGCAGTGGCAGGAAGCTATCTTGTCAGTCCAAAGGTAGGAATTACACTAGGCAGGCATATACACTGGGCCAGTGTATCATAGACCCTATATTTCTATACTTTGATGTGATATAGAAATATAAATCAGTTAAGTTGTAGATATGCATGTACAGTTGGGGACATTGGTCTTTCAAAGTGTTGAAAATGGCTACATGGTGCTTAGCATTTCCAAGGATTTTTTGTACACAATTGTCATTCATAAGGAAAACACAATCAGCTTTGTATCTTAGAAAGTTTAACAGTGATATTTTATGTTTCCTTACAATGAAGACAAAAGTGTTTTATTTAAAACATTCCCAAGATTGATACATAGAAAATGAAGCTAATCCCAAAAGGCTAGTTGCTGTTCTTATTATACATATAACAGACAGTTTTGAGAGGAAGAAGAGCATAAAGAACATGTTGCAGTTAAGGTGTAGCCATGCTTGCATTGTTGGTGTTTCAGTTGGGTTCTAAACTTGGCAAATAAGAACATAATGTAAAGGTAATGCAGGCAGCTTGTCTTACTTTTACTTATCCTCAAGCACTTCCTCTTGCAGTTACTTGTTTATTAAAGCCATCCAATTTTTTTTTGGCACTCCAATTTTTTTGGTTCAAATTACATTTTAAATGTAGCAAAACTTCAGCATTCAATACCAGGTTATATCAGGTCATCAGAAGATATACAGGTTGTCTTGCTGGGTTGACTAAAGGTGACATCTAATCTCATACAGAAAGCACCAGACAGTATGTTTGTTCTTGTCTATAAAATAATCTACCTTATGTCGAGAGGGTATCTTAAAATCTTTCCCTTGCCCTATTTCTGCCTCCCCCCTAGTTAATTTAAAAGACATATTGGCAAGCATCCTAATATGAATTGTTTTGTGTTCCATGTGATCCTTTGTAATAGTCACATTGTCATTGTTTTCAGTCATTTCACTTATGGATGGATAGTAAATAGATGACTAAACTCATCTTTATGGATGTACCTGCAAGTGTTGGATACTGTTAACATAATAAATATTTAATAAAGGAAAATGTAAATATTTTATAGGAGTTATTGTATAACTTTGATTCTGACCATTCAATTACTAGTTTTGACATGTCTGGTTCCATGTATCAATGCAATTTTAAAATGTACTTAGTATCATGAAGGGATTTTTGTGCATATCTTTGATTTGGAAGTATATGTTGTACCCCTCACAATGAAATCAGTAGAGTTGATTGGTTGTGACAAGTTAAGGTGCATTTTTTTTTTACTGTTTAGAGCAATTTCTGTGAGACATAGGCAAAAACAGGATTTGTATGTAAAATGAATCAGATGGTTTGAAGCCTTGATCAAGAATGCTTAAGTCAATATATTGTCCATAATCAGTGATGTTTTGTGAACTATTTTCCCATTCATTTATCTGGAAACCCTTGATATCTGCACCAAGGTGCCTATGCACTGGTCTCACTGGATGAAAACTGGGACCATGGGAATAAAGCTTGTCCTTGTCCTTGTTAGCTTTCTGGGTCAGGGTACATGATGTTAACACTAAAGTACATCTGTCTTATCAGTCCTGGGGTTTATTGTGATTGAATTCAGCATTGGTACACATGCACCCAGTAACTTGTATTATTTTCAGATCAAAAGTATTTGAATATAGAATCTCTTTATTTTATTGGTCTTTTTTTTAACCAAAATTTTTAATGAAAGTAGATAGTACTAACTATAAGTCAAAGTATGAAATAACTTAACTTGTTAGTAAGCCATTCCGTCAGACCCTTTGTCACTGCACCACTTTGAAGTGATTTTCATTTTCGTTCACTACATATACTGACACAGTAAAGCCATTTTATTTTATGATTTGAAACAAAACAAGATTGAACAAGATTCTGGTGAAGTTTATGAGGGAACTCGAGCATTTCCATGTCCTCCTGTGACTGATCCTTGGTATTGAATTTCCTCATTTTAAACAAAGAGTGCAGGACAATAGCAGTCCTAGGCAAAAGTGGCTTTCCTAGCTAGGCTTCAAGTAATGATAAAAGTTCTACCTTAAATATTTTGCTTTTCTAAATTGAAGTGATAATAATTAAAAGTTTGTATACAAAATTTCAAACATTTTAGAATCTTTCGTGATTATTTGAAGTGCGGTTTAGTCTGCATATGACAGTTTCTAGAGAATTTTCACAACTCATTTCCCCCTCATTTACAATAGAAATTATTCATATCTGGGCCAAGGTTGTCATACAGGGGCCTCACTAGATAAAAACTGATACTGATACTGTATGCTTAAACTCAATAACTTTAAAAATTGTCAAGCCCTTGTTAGTTATGTATGTCAGTGTAAATGAGAGGATGTTGACACTTAGGTACATCTGTCCTAGTACCAATTCTGAATCTTGTTTTGATTGAATGGTCATTGGTTCATGTGCACTCAGTTATTTGCATAGATTTCTATCTGTAACAATTAAAAGAAATAGTTTTGGGGACAGCTACCCCCTTTTGATATGCAAATTGGAAACTAAATATGTGCATCACATGTTTCAAGAATAATGCAAAGCTGGGAACTTGATCTCTTTCAAATTTGAACTTCTCCTCTTAGCTTTAATTTAGTCTAACAGGTTATATTTTGTGTTGGCTGTTGACAACAACATCTGTATGACTACTTCTATTGGTTAACATAAATATTTGCTGACATATTTGATTAGACACGGTTTCCAAGTAAGATAGCATCATGTTTCCCAATCTCTCTGTGTATAGGAAGAAAACAAGTTTATTTACTGGATTTAGTTGTTTACTGCCATAATTATTTACTTTGAACCTGTTATGAGTTAATTTTTTTTTTTTTTTTTTGGTCATTGTTATATTTATTTGCAAATATTAATCATATTAGAAGATATTCTTTAAAAGTACCTCTTCAAACTCCATTATGTAACTCATTTTGCTCTCACATCTGCTTTTATAACTTTCTTTAGCCAAATGCCTGCACAGCATAATATTGTTAAATGAAATACATACAGTTTTTGGATGTATGTTCAACATAATGTGTTCTGTGTTTCAGGTTGGTTTGATCACTACAGTGGCTATACTGGTACACGAGATCCCACATGAGGTGGGGGACTTTGCCATCTTGTTAAGGTCTGGCTTTGACAGGTGGAAGGCTGCTAAAGCACAGGTAAGGTGGCAGTAATGTTTTCTAAATCAGTTACTGGCTACTGTCCCTGCTTTGGGTCAGTAGACTCTTAGACCCTTGTGGCAGGGAGTGATGGCACACCAAGGGTTTCTGGTACAAACTGGTCAAACAAAGCCAATGAAGTGTCCTAGCTGACCACTTTCCCTGTTTAAAAACCTTTGCCTCGAGATTGAAACACGTTTTATTGACCCTGGTTTCTGTTCTCAGGGATAAAAAGAGTTAACTTTGTCAAGTTGTCTACTTTTAAGTAGGTTAATCATTTGTGAAGGTTTTTTGGGTAACGGTGCCTAGACCAACATATGTTGTTCATTTAAAAAAAGTTGTGGCGGCTCCCAGTTTTGAAAGTGAAAAAGATCCAAATAGCACAATATCAGGTAGTAAAGTAATATTTTATCACCAGCGTAGCTATACAGTGTGGACATCATATATAATTCTGTCTTCATTATTGTCATTATACTGTGCTGATCTCTGAAATTTAAGTGGGGAAATTGATTGTAATTACATGCAGCATAAGTTATTTCCTGTCTCCGTGATTATTATATTTTTATGATTCGCTGAGCACTGCCCTGTCTCTGCATGTTGTATATGCCTCTAGCTTACTGTTCAAATATTGCCTGTTTCACATGTAGATTTTATGTGAAAAAAAAATATGTCAACTTTTATTAATTGACTGACATATTAGTGATAGTGTTACTGTTAAAAGATGTTGCATACTGAGTAAGTATAAAGAAATAATAAAAAAAACTTTTGCTGGATTTATTTCATGTTTATATAATAAAAAAATCCTTATGTTAATTTTTTCAAGCTCCTCACAGCATCTGGTGGTGTGGTTGGTGCTATGACAGCTCTATTGGCGGAGTCAGCAGAGACAGCTGGTAACAGCACGGCCTGGATACTGCCCTTCACCTCTGGCGGCTTCATCTATATTGCACTGGTCACAGTAGTGCCTGATCTACTGGAAGAGAGGCATCCATGGTAGACATATTTATTTACTTTTTAAAAGATATATAATCAGAATGACTGTTTATGTTACTCTGTGGTAATGAATTTATTTTTTACCCAAGTCTTGTGAAGGAATTATCTAGACTGACACGTGCATGAGCTCCATGGAAAGCTTAGCAAGAGTGTGTGAAGGCATATTTATTATTTTATTTTTAAAGAGAAAATTCTCTGTTTCAAACTTATCATTTGGCTGCCTTAAGTTTGGGAAATTTTGTAGTTATACTTTTATTAACTTATCAATCATTTCATCAACATTCTAAGTATTACCACCTTTTTAATTTAAATTGCTTTGATATTTTCAGCTTGGATGATATAGTAATGGTATAAGTTGTCTGATTAGGGAGTAATCTATCTTTGCATATGTTTGTTTTCAGGGAATCCTTGAAGCAAATACTGTGTCTAATAGCAGGAATAGGAGCCATGTTGACAGTAACATTAGTCTGCGAATAGATTCAGAGAAAACGAGATTTATGAAAGATAACATGGATTCTCTTTTGTCAAGAAATAGGGAACAAAAACATTCATTATCAGCTCAACTTTGTGAGATATTATATCCTAGTCTTCACCTTACTCTCTGTAGATCTTTACAGTTTGTCTCATTTTGAATGAGGAGGATGTTGCGAGGCTATTATTATGTTTTAAACATGAAGACTTTCTTCAATTCTCATTTTACAATGATGTTCCCACATTGGAGTTGTCTTCCAGGAGTAAGGTCCCATGGGGAGTTTGTTTTGTTTTATTTTAACAAAGAAAAGAGGTGATATTATATTGTATGTGGTATGTATAGTGTATATTGCCCAGGAAGGCAGGTTAACGAAAGTAGAAGATTGTCCAGCAAGTAGAGACATTATTTTCCTGAAGAGGTGTTAAAGTTTGGCTGCCACATCATGGAAACAGCTAGCTCTGTAACATAATTTAATTAAGCCTTACCTTCTGTCACTTTTATGGTAAGGTCACTGCCATGAGTGCAATGAAATTACAGCTGTGATGAAATTGGAAGATATATAAATTATATGTATGTATAAATAGCAAGTGTTCAGACACTTTTGCCTATTTATTCCTTTATTAAGTAGATCCCACCAAGCATACCTTTAATTGCTTCTTTATAATGAGATATAGGGGGTGCTATTTACCCATTGTGGTCACAATTTTGTCCTTTCATAGTGGGTCATTAAGTTCCACTTTGGTGTGCATAGCCTGCATCTAGCACCCTTATCCATGACTTCCAAGGACTGATGCATAAACGCACACACATGCTTACTGATTTGTGATATTTCATGCTAGGTGGATTTTAAAATTTAAAACTTAATTGGCAGAGAAGTATATTTTAAATGTAATGCATAATTAAGAAAAAAATGGTTGGTGCATATAAATTGTGCAATGGTGGTAAGATCGTAGTGGGGCAGGGATGGGAGGGGGTTGAAATGGCAGCTATGTAGTTATGGTGATTGCTTTAAACTTATTGGTATAATTTTTATGGAGAGACTATGCATCTTGATATTCAAACTTCACTTGCATCTGGTTGTTTAGTTATTTTATTATAATAATCATTTTTGGGCAAATTTGACAATGAAACATCTTTTTGTAAATGACTGAATTCATAAAGAGTATTTCTGTGCTATCTAAGAAATATCTTCTGTATAATTATATAAATGAATGAAATGTATATTTTATTTTTTAAGAGGTACTAGAAGAGATGTGACATATGACTGTTGGAAATTGCCTGTTTGAAAGTCCACACTTATCAAGATTTTCATATCTATAAATATATGAAAAACAGAAAAAATGTGGGAGTTATGTGCATAACTGTTTTATGTCACATTTTAATTACTGTTGATTTCTTTCCATTATTGGAGGGCACTAAACTATGAAATGGAGGATAATGGAACAAGTCAAAATTATGAAATTATTACACAAAATGTGACTGTAATGACCCTAAAACAATTGTGATCATATTGAATATATCGTACATTAGTAAACCAGCTTTCATGTTGATTGTCATGATATTTATTTTTGATCAAAATATTTTTAGGTGTTAAATTTTCTAAATGGCAGAATACCGTTTAGCAGATTTTGATCTTCTTTGAAAGAAATACAGTTCATGGTATTGTAATTATGTGCTGCTTTTGGCAATAGTTATTATGCAGTAAAGCTGTTAGCTTTCCATATTTAAGCATTTATTCAAGCATTTATTCAGAGTTTCAGAGATGTATGTATTAGTTTGCTTTATCCAGAGGTGCAAGGTAATGATTTATACTAAAACTACACTGTGCACACAGATAAATATCAGGCTTTTTAGCTCACATAACTTGCTATTTTCAGAAATGCTCACAGTTGTTCTATTTCACAGGCAACTTACACATACCGGTATATACATACATATATTGTTACATTACCATCATTTATCATCACTGCTTGTGCCTACAACCAGTGTTAGTAGACACTTAAAAATAATCCAAGTTGGCAATCAGGGAAAGGTGATGGGGTATGTCTTATAATGTGTGGGTAGACACCAAAGAAAGCTGATTTACATGCTTGAAGATGCCCTTTCAGAACTCTTTGGCTGATAACATATAGGTTTACAAATACAGAAAGTACTAATGAACAGAATGTATATATCATGCGCACGGTGCTTTGCCTCACTGAGACAAGTAATTTTTTGGTTTGGTTGATTAGTCACTTAAACTTAACAAAAAGCAGTTACTGGGTGTCGGATATTCTTACTTAAATGTCCTCAGAGACAGCAGTCCACCCACCGATATTATGACACAAAGTCACATGGGTGTTAGTTAACAATTGCAGCAATGTGCCTGTTGGCACGTGCTATTGCTTCAGTGTCACAACCTTTTGAGATAAAGAACAAGTTGTCTAGACACGAGGAAAACCAGACTTGCATGTAATCTTGCAGTGCTAATGGTACAGTTCTAGTAGTAACTACATTTAAAGCGCTCAGTTGTTATATCATGTTTAAAAAATAAACATATTGGGGTAAACCATTTCGTTTGAAAAACCATGAATCTTTTTTTCTGAAATAAGCTTCTGTTTGAAAGCAGAATGTGAAGTTTGTTAATTATGCGAAACTGGCTCAAATGCAGACACCCCTCAGTGGTTCTGTAATCATTTTGAACCAACTAGAATAATTTATCCTGGGAATATGTTTTGAAATAAGAACTTAATGGTGGAAAATTAATTTTTGTCTAATTTTCTTGTCATGCAGTTGTGCAATGTTAAATGATAATCTATTCAGAATAAAAGAAGAAAACTATAAAGTGTTTCTTTTACTGTTATTGAAAAAGCATGTACTAATTTTCTTTGCTGATTATTTTTTCATGTTTTTAATGGTAAGACCAAGGAGGCCAATAGAAATAAAGCTTTTACATTTAGGTTCCACAATGTGTGTCAGACTTGCAGCAAATAGCCATAATTTGTATTTATACTTTTTTAATATTCAAGTTGTAAGAATATTTGAGAGGTAATATGAATATAATAACAAGAATAGTAAGACGAAATATGTTGTACATATAATGCATTGAAATTCTTGTAAACATTTTGGGTTTCATCAACTAATCTGATGTACATATATATAGGAACTGATGTTGGAAGCTATAACCTAGATTCCATGAATTGATCACAAAAAATGCAAAAATAATAAGTAAACACCAGCGGTGTGATCTAAAAATAACCGGTATTTGATGATCATCAACTCAAACACCTTTTAGACTGTTACTACTATTACTATCTCAAGTATCTATTAAAATGTGACTTGTATTAAGACTACTACTAAATTTAATTACAGAATACTTGGAATTATGATGTTGCTTTAAATCATCACAGGCATGGTGTCAATACAAAGTTGCTCAGCAACCTCAGATTTGTTCTACATAAAATGCTCTAACACCATATTGCAAAACTAGTTTAAAAGAGCACGCAGGAAAAAAATTGGCAAGCTAGCTTCTGCCTTTTAAAACAAAAAATGTTCATATTCACATAAATGTGCTCTTGTGATGATAATATTACCCACACTGGTGCTGAGAGATGCTTGCTGAATAATTGGTGGCATCCTAAATGGATTTATAGATCATGATATTCAATGTAACAAGTAAACCTATAATGCTACATTAAAGTGGTTGCAATCTCCAACCTCCAATGCAATATGAAGATTTATTTGGATGTAAATAATTGTCAGTAAAGCTGGATTTATAATGGATAAATTCTAACTTGATAACATTATATTGTAAAGCACTTTCACCTTGGTAAAACTGAAATATATATACATACTGATATACAAGTGTGAAAGATGAACTTGGAAGAATATACAAAAGATTGTATTTCTTCTACATATGAGAAACAAGACAGGCAAATAAACCTGTTAAAATAATACTGATAATATGAAAACAACTGCCCATTATATATAAGGAAAAGAGACTGAAACAAATAGTATACACTCACAATTACATCAAAGAACAAACAAAAAAATGGCAAATTGGATCTAAAGGCACAGGAGTCAATTGTTTCTCTATCAAAATAAATGCATAATTGCTAAGAATTATAGAGTGAAACGTGTGAATGCTTAGAACATTTGCATTTTATTATTTGTTAATATCAGGACAAAAAGTCTTGATGGATATTGTTATTCCAGGTCAGCATTATTGAACCATAAATTAGTTGACAAGGGGCATTAAGGAAAATGCCCCAGGATACATTCAATATCTATTTTTTCTATGTTACATTAATATGGGCCAATACCTTAGCTTTATGCTGAAATTTTAAAACAGTTCAACTTAACAGTGTCTAGTTTTGATTCAATAATTTGCCAAAGTAAAACTATTAACATCATAGAGTGGTTATTTTGAATCCATTTTTGATAAGAATGTCTCACCTGAAAATGCCACAACCTTAACATTTGCATTTTAAGTTAGATAATACATTAGCAAGATTAACAAGTAGACTGTGACCATCTTCAACAAAGCCATGATTTTTACTTCAATAGAAATTCAATTGCTTTGCAATTATAGAAAGTATGACAATTGTTTAAAAATAAATTGACTAAGGATTAGTCAAATGGTTTATAATCAATGATAATATACATATGTTAGGACGAGTATAGACACGTGTGTATAAATGTGGGTACATAAGTTTTTCACATTTTGTCCATATACTCAGACAATATATGCACTAGTGTCCCTACCTACTACTTCACAATAAACCAGTTTTAATGCAGGTCCAGTTTGATCAATTACTCTCCTTGCTTGTTATATACAGTTAAACTAAACTAATTATGAAATGCTCAAATATACATACAGGTACAATTATTTATGGGCTGATTACTGTTAGGAATATGTTCTTTTTCAAGCATTTATTTAATCCAAAGGCTATGCTAAAATATTACACTTTGTATTAGTTTAAAAATAACATGGACATCAAGCAGATAAAAACAAATAAATAAAATTATGCAAATGAATAATTTTTCACAGATTTTTTTTACACTTGGTATAAATCCCTTCTAATTTATTTCAGTGATTTGTTATTTATCAAAGAATGGTAGCCTACTGCATTCTGAGATGCTGATGTAACATTTTCATATGGGATTTAATTAAAAAATGCTTTAAAACTGTAAAACAAACAGTCCATCAAAGTGTTGGCTAACTGCATTATTTTCATGTGATTTAACAAGAACTTGGTGTGTTGGAAATATATTAGCTCAACATGTCATATATTCATATCTTGTAAATCTATTTATATACATACCTGTCTTTTATTTTGTGCATAGAAAATGCCATGATATCATATTTAAATATCAAACATACAGGGACAAAGCAATTATCAATTCAATTATAAAATTAAGTCATGGCTCCATATTTTTATCCTGATATTATGATATTAAAAAAAAAAAAAAAACAATTTTTGAGCCTGTTCCATACATGATATTTTTTCTGAGTCAATCTATACAAGTTCAGACAAAGTGTCAGTCCAGTCATTGTAGCTAATGCTATGACTTGTCTGGAGTGTTCCTGAGCTGTGTCTGACCACTCTGAGCACCTGCTAAAACCAGGGGATTAGTCTGGTGATAACTGATTAGTTCTGAGACTGACGGAAAGCTCTGAAATAATCAACAATTTAACACCGTTACAGTGGTTGAAAGTGCTTCCAGTAAAGTGTTTGGAATCCATTGATTATGCTAAAAAAATACAAACACTTCTACCGAGTTGGATATGTTAGTTTTCAATTTTCAAACAATAAAAAATTACCAATATCTAAAACTGTTCCTCTTTGAACAATAAAATTATCCAATTGTTTTATAGTTGTATTTCAAAGTTCTCGCCAAATTTGAATATTTTCTACTTGTTAAAAGTGTAAGGCACTATATCAATTTAAACTGAAGATAAGTGTGTAAATTTCAAAACTGAGGCATGAGGTTCTCACCAATTCATTAGGTTTTTCATTGCCTAATGCAAAAGATGCATCAGCCTTCTTTCTGATGTGAAGATTCCAAACCCTTCCTTCATGGAACAGAGATAAAGAATATGGACTAGTAGGTCCACCTTTCTTGCTGAGGCGCACCAGAAAAGATCCATTCTAAAAAATTAAACAAAATATATAATTTCTACATGTTCTGAGTATTTAAAGGCTTACTTAGTCAAATTATATAAAAATCCTGCAACATTTAATTGAAATCAAAATTTTGAACCTAGGCAAATTTGTAAAAAAATAAATATGTTAACTGACTTTATGATTGGATAAATATTCTGTATGCCATGAAGAAATGCGTTATATGTATGCGTACATGTGGGCTGCTTTAATTCTATCATTTGAATGACCTTGACAATCAAATTTGTAAGTTGAATGTTATCTTGCAAGTATTTTTTATTTGAATACATAATGAAGAATTTCTATGCTAAAACTACAAAATATATTGTATCATTTGGATTAAAAAAAAACATTTTAATCTAAAGATGCAATAAATAATGGCAAATTGTCACAAATCCAACTTGTTCACATCTGAATATTACTCCACTCAAACTGACTGTAACCAATCCTATTTGACTTATAAAACATCATAATTTTAACAAATTTTAGAAAAGGCTGACGATTTAAATAATGAAGTTTCATTTTGTCTGTACCAAGTATTTCCTAGTATAACCTGACAATGTATAACTGGTAAATCTAGTTGGTTACCATGTATAAAAATCCTAGGTTTAAAATCTCAATAGTGGACACACAGCTGAGACAGATGTGAAGGGTGGTTAAGAAGATCTGGTTGTTATTATTATTATTATTATTATTATTATTATTATTATTATTATTACCAGATAGGTGTACTACACTTACAGTTCCTAGAGATTTAAGGCGCTGGTCTGACACGTCTCTAGAGATGTCCCCATGATACCATGACTCTGCTTCAATGTTCTCTTCATCCTAAAGATAAAATAATGATAATTATAAATAGAATATGTCCAGATATATGACAAATAAAATGTCACACTTTTTGTTAAATATCTGTCTCGCCATGATGAATTGTTACTGTAACTGCAACATGTGTAGTAGTGACAAGTGAGAGAAGTCAGTGAGATATGTTCGTGTCACATGACACTCATGTATAAATTTGAGATCCCGCCCTTACATTTTCAGTTTCAGCAACACGGATCTCCGGGATCATATAGTTTTATGTTTTCATTAGTTTTTATCAGTTTCAGTTTTACTCAGTTCAAATCAACTTAATTTAGTTTCTGTTCACATTTATTTATGCAGTAAAAACACATTATATACTCCAAGACAGTTTCCGAGTTGTTCCGGCAGATTTAGGCCGTCTTCTGGGTCTTCCGGAAGACGGTCAGATTTTCAAGTTTACATTGACGGGTATCTATTTTTTCTGTCGGAAGACGGTTGAAAATGGAGGTTGGATCAACAAAGATAGTTTGGAAGACTGTCATAAAATATCTCTGGATCCGCCCCTGTAAATGGTACGGTCACGGCAACAGTTACCCATAGGTAATTAATTACAAACTACACACAAATCAGAACACATCCCAGAATTTTTATTTTCCGTTCATTTATGATGTAATATCTAGACTGCATATAATGTACATAACAAATCAGTTGGTGAATTTACTTAAGCTTACTGGCTCTTTGTGCCAATGGCTATGAATCAAAAAGGCCTAAAGCAGGAATAGAGCTTGGTATCTGGACAAATTTTCAAAATTTTACTGGGCTACAATTTTATAGGCATTTGAGGTGGGGCAACTGTTTATGCCACAAATGGTTAAAATTTTTATTTAAATACACATATATGTGACATAGTCAATAACAGCAGGTAATCAACTCTCAAATTACACAAATTTCTTTGTGATGACAACCAGTTGTGCTTACCATGCTTTGACTGCCCCCTGGTGGTGGAGGCAGAGGACGAGAACCTGGGTTGAATGACGGACTCTTACTTGCAATTGGTGTGCGATCTGAAAGATTCGCAATTAAAATCAGCCACAAGTAGTAACATTAATCATTTTAATCTATAACCTAAAAATCTTTACATGTTAAAAAACAAATGATCATACTGAGAATACAGTAAAAAAAGGATTTTGGCCCAATAAGAACAAAAAAAAAATTTTTTTAAGCAGTACTTTAAGTCATTTAATTGCCTTTAACTAATATTGATACATTAACGCAAAGTCACAGACTTAAAAGTTCTCTACAATAATATGCACTTTTTAATTAGAATCACCATTAAGCTATATACCAGTAACATCTGTTAAATATGACTCATTTTTCCAATGCACAAAATATTGACCTTCCCTTTCTTTTCCTTCTCACTTCCCAAAGAATTTCATCTCACGATTTAACAAATCATTTGATATTTAGTATAGTTGAAGTTGTGTATATATACATGTCAATTGATATTCCTGAGAAGTTGGATGTTTTCTTTTTTTTACAACAGAGAATGCAAGAATTTGAAAACCAAATCATAACCTTATTTTATATAATTTCAATTAAATAAGAACTAAGATGACGAATAAAATTTCAAATGAATTACATGTACACACACCCTGAAACACACACACTTCCTTGTATTATTAGACACTTATAAATCTTCAAACATACTATGACCTTTCTCTGTTGTTCATATGCTGCTGATGATCAAAGAAATCAATATACATTTCTCTGAACAAAAATAATCCAGCCATCCCTAAGCTACAATAATGTATTATTTAAACATATACTCCTCTTTTGAAAGAAGCAGTTTGACAATTTAGATACTAAGATGTAAAATTGTTTAATTCTACTTCCCCTGATACTGCACAATTTCAATTATTCCACCTAGATAGTTATGTTTAAAAAAAAACTAGAAACTGGCTCCTTGATTCAAGGCTCTAAGATCCTACAATTTTTAGCCTTAGACTGCATTTTCACTCCTGGGTCATTAAAAACTTTCTACACCACAATGGCTAACCCAACCAGATCAACTCAACATTTGCGCTGAATTAGCCTGCTACTAACTATATTCACATATTAAAAAGATGACCGAATCTCACAGCCTACCTTTTCTTCCTCTTCTCCTCTGATAACTATCTACTGCCATTCCACATAACCCTCTCTCTATTTATAGGAACTCTCAGTTATAAAATATAAAACACAGTTAACTGTGAAATATTTTGGCAGGTCAGGAAAAACCCTGCAGTAAATTACTGAGAAGATGACAGCAAATGGCAGCCCTGAGTCAGGTCCTAGAGTTTTATGAGCATTTTTTGCCCTGCCAGCAGATGGTGCATATCTCTGAAGATATAACTCTGGTCAATAAATGTGTTGACTCTATTATGAACTTTTTATTTGCTCCACAGATTGTACACTAATTGGCAATTATATTAGATTTATTCCTATTCAAGATGATAATTTCTGTCAACATTTAGTCCTGCAATTATATTACTCGAATTTCAGAAATTTGAACAAGATTTAATCTTCCTTTTATATTTCCCTTGGATGAGTCAGACCTGTGATCTCATATCACAAAGGAATAGTCTTTAAAGGGTATAAACAAAATCAATAATAGAGAGAATGTGATAAGACTCTAGCATCTTTTCCAAGTCTCTAATTACCAATGATAGCTCCCCAGATGAAATCAAATTGCAGCATGTACTGATCACTACAGATTTTAATCTTCTGTTAAAACACTCGGTTACAGAGTGAGAATTTAATTGAACTTAGTGTAACTGCTGTTATTGGCAATCAATCTTCTTTAATTCTAGATGACTAAATAAAAATAGAATTCAACATCTAGCCTGAAAAAGTGTACGAAAATTATATCTTGATATAAATTGCGTGGGCTTTAAAATCTGAGGCCTCATAAAATTGTCACAAAAAGGAAAAATATAGTCATGGTTTTAGGACAAGTAAAGGCCAATCTGTTAGTCCAATGATGGCTATGTGTAATAGAAAAAGTACTTAATTGCAGGGAGAGAGATTTCAAATCTGTTTCAACGTTTTTGGGATCTCATCTCAGATTTATTTATATATTTCCTGGCAGCAATTCTATATACCTTTCCACACTAACAAATAACCACAACATCACAAGTATTACAAGGTGGTCAATCATAGGACACTCATCTTGCAGATATCAACCTGCACTCAATACTAGAGGTAAAAATCAAACAAAAGAGTTGAGACCTCTGTCAAGGAAAAAAAACAATAAAATTCCATCCCTTTTTAAATTATAAGACCTAGATTCATTTGAAATTGTAATGACCTTTTCCCCTCTTGAATAACTGTCCATCCTGAAAGTAACTCATAATTTGTGCACAATTTTGGGGACATCTTGACCACTAACAAATAGACAAATGCATGCCTATGAAAACATACCCCCTTCATTGGCAGAGATAAAAATCAATTTACATAGAGCACAACACTGAAGCATCAGCAACTTTTTGACGCAGACCTACAACACAATCACTTCCCTTTGAACTGCACAACAAATGCAATCACTAATCTAAACTATGGTTGACTGCCACTTTGTTTTGTCTATGATCTAAAAATCCACTAAAACAATCTGAATAAATCTTTGTGGCCACATTACCCAATCATAAATTAAAAACTTCCCTCATAAAAGTTAAAGTGTTTCACAAACAAATAATGTTTATAATGAAAATGCAGTAAAGGGAAAGTAACAACTCACAATCTCACTGTCTTGACTATATAACCACATACAACTCATTTGTGTCCAATTTTCACATTCCATTACACAATTCAAATTATTTGTAACAAAGTTGTTGAAATCAGTTTTGTGAAATCATTCTTGCTCAAGCCTCATACTGCATTTTATTGTATTTCCCAAACAGAAAAGATAATGCTGCATAAAATATGGTGGGTAAGTTGAAATTGTGTTCACAACTATTCACATATACTAGTGGTCTCTTTGTATTTCAATCACACTTCATACATTTCCTATACCCATCTACCTTTATACTGCCACTGAGTGTCATATTAGATCTGTATATTTTCACCAGATTCCATTGGTGCAAATTTTA